TTTACTCTGTAGTCAATTTGAAACCTTTCCCTGTCTTACAGTCCCACATTTATTCTCATTTTGGTCAGTGTATTAAGTCTAATAGCCTTTTTATCCGTGCACCAGATGGTCTCATTATCCTCAAGGCTGTAGAACCTTGGTTAGGTCATGTTGCTCATGCACTTGGTCTAAGCACACCCTTTTGGATTGGAATCCTGGGTTTGCATTCTAAATTTTATTTTTACCCTCTCGTACCCAGGATGATAATCTTGATGGAATAGGTGAATCAGACATTTTAGTATGCTTTCTAGAACCCTGAATCCCTTCCTAGAAAGTTGGTTACAAATCCAGGCTTCCTGCTGTAGGCATTCTCACATAGACTGTGGTCTAAGAAGGGGCAACTTGTACTGAAAGCAAGCGTATCTCCAGATAGTCCTACTGTTTTATATCTTGACTCAAGGAAAGAGTTTCCAGCCACCTTATAGCTGTACTGCATCCCCAAAGTATCAAGTACCAGACAACCCTGGAAAACTGAACAGAAAGTGCGAAGCTAGACTCCACTGATGGTGCAGTGATTGGACAGTAACGGTTCTCTGTGCCTCTGGCTTGAGGAAGGTCATTAATGGCTGTTTCCTAATCAGCAGTTGAACTCTCCTTTTTGAAAAGTGGGCGTCTTCCCTACCTTCTCTTTGTCACTGCTTATTTTACTGTGTCTTGAGTACATAGCTCCAGTCATTCCTAAGGTACTCTTGTTATCAAAGCAAGCACCATAGCACTCAATTCATTGCACTTTTATTCTTGGTGTGAGCAAGCACTTCCCGCCCACCCCTCTCCCACTATCAAATCTAGAGTTCTTTTTTTTTTTTTTTTTCTTTTCTGTCGGCACCGACAGGCAGAGTGGACAGTGAGAGAGAGAGACAGAGAGAAAGGTCTTCCTTTGCCGTTGGTTCACCCTCCAATGGCCGCCGCGGCCGGCGCAGCGCGCTGATCCGATGGCAGGAGCCAGGAGCCAGGTGCTTTTCCTGGTCTCCCATGGGGTGCAGGGCCCAAGCACCTGGGCCATCCTCCACTGCACTCCCTGGCCACAGCAGAGGGCTGGCCTGGAAGAGGGGCAACCGGGACAGAATCCGGCGCCCCGACCGGGACTAGAACCCGGTGTGCCGGCGCCGCTAGGCGGAGGATTAGCCTAGTGAGCCGCGGCGCCGGCCAAATCTAGAGTTCTAAAACCGTCCTTGACCTCAGTGGGCTTTCAGGTATTTGCTGAGTGAATAAATGCAGCGATGTAGAGAGCTGTGTCCTGTTTGTCCTTCCTTGCTTTCTCCCTGGTGTTGACAAGCTAACTGGACCTGTACCATCTCCAGACCTTTCACCTACCTTGCTTCCCATTTGCTTCTGAACAGCTTGATGATTTTGCCCAGACTGATTTTTGTTCACTGCTGATTGCAAAGGATTGGAGATACAATGATCATGGCTATATCTCCTCATTTTACTAAAGGCTACAAAGGTAAAGTGTTTGCTCAAAATTATACGGCAAATCAGTCCTCTGCCTGCGGTGCCGGCACCCCAGGTTCTAGTCCCAGTTGGGGTGCCAGATTCTGTCACAGTTGCTCCTCTTCCAGTCCAGCTCTCTGCTGTGGCCAGGGAGTGCAGTGGTGGATGGCCCAAGTCCTTGGGCCCTGCACCCGCCTGGGAGACCAGGAGAAGCACCTGGCTCCTGGCTTCGAATCTGGTGCAGCACGCCGCCAGAGCAGCCATGGAGGGATGAACCAACAGCAAAAGGAAGACCTTTCTCTCTCTGTCTCTCTCTCTCACTGTCCACTCTGCCTGTCCAAAAAAAAAAAAAAAAAAAAAAAAAAATGCAGCAAATCTCCATAACATTCCATTTCACTGCTTTACCCACTCATTTTCTAATCACCACCCTATTCCCTCTCCCCATGTCTTTTGATTATCAGCTTCAAAAATTTGGAAAAGGAACCATAGTTTGGACTCCAGCTTACATACCAAGCTTACAGAATCTTCTGGCCTATCTGTTGTAGAGAATTAAGATTTTTTTCATGGTGCCATACAGTTTTAGGGATTTGCAACCTACAGTTATACTGAGATACATTTTATTAAATGCCTATATGATTGCTATAATGGTCTTATCTCTTGAGAGATGTATATCTTTGGTTGAGTATGGCCAATAAATACATTCAGAAACCTCTTTCAAGTCCTGTTCATGCCCAGGTTACCCGTGCTAGGAGTATTGCTCGGTTTCTCAGTAATCATGTTTCCCACCCATCTGCCCCCTACTATTGCCACCTTATTCTTGGATGATGACACTATATCCAGTTATCCGTTTATCCAGGTTATTGCTCCTCATTCCCAAGTGAAATAATTTCCCAAGCTCTTGGGAACTTTCAATCATCAGTTTCTAGTCCTCCAGTGCCTGAGGTTTTTGTCCTAGGTTTTAGTTTCCTTCCCACACTGAAAGTCCTGATTAATCCTTGTCTGTTTCAAGAACAGTGACTAATGTTTGAGGTAACCCGTCAGCCAGCTAGTCTTTGATGGTTGATGTGCACAGATTAGGTATACATTACTATTACATCAGGGAATTAGTAATAAGATTCTAATGACCTTAATGGAGTGGAATGGTGGTGGGATGAACATTGATTATAGTGGGGAAAAAAAAAAAAAAAACAGGAAGAGTTGCAGTCAAAATTAATACAGGGTTGGGTGTTGTGGCACAGTGGGTTAAGTAGCTCCTTGGGATGCCCACATCCCAAATCTGAATGCTGGTTCAAGGTCCAGCTATTCCACTTGGCATCCAGCTTCCAGCAATGCATCCTGAGAGTAGTAGATGATGGCTCAAATGCCTGGGCCTGTGCCACCCATGTGGGAGACCCAGACAGAATTCCAGGGCCCTGGCTTCAGCTTGGTCCAGCCCTGACTGTTTTGGGTATTTGGGTAGCAAACCAGTAGATGCAAGATCAGTTCTCATTCTCCCTGCCTCCCTCCTTCCATTTTAAGTATATGAATTTTTTTAAAAAAATTAAAATAAATTCAGTGGCTTTGAAAATGGTCATACCATTAGCCAAGAGATGGGAAGACTTAGGAAGAAGCAGGTCTAGCCAGGACTGGAGTGAGGGGGAAAGATAAGCACATCTCAGTAGTTCCATTGAATGTCCACAATGTGTCTAGCAGCAATGTGGAGCTTGAGGCCAGGGAAAAGAACTCTAGGATGGAATTTTAATTAGGAGATTACTCATGCTAAGCTGGGTTTGGAGCCACAATTTTGTCACATATGTGAAGAGATGGACAGAGCTTTTGGGACACAGAATCCATTTAGGAATGAGAAGAGAGGAAAGAGGGCTGTAGATTCAAGAGGTTAAAATTTGGGCACTTAGTCTTTTGGGGAAGTTGAGGCAGCCTGAGGGAAAGAATCCAGCAGGGTGGAGCAAAGGTGCAAGAAAAGTATGGGGAGGCAGTTTTGGGGTCCTGGTAGAAGGGAGGGCTTGGAGCTGCATCACAAGGGTAAAGAAAAACATGAAAGTTCTAGAGACATTTCAGTAACAGATGGGACATTAAAGCAGTTATGTCCTGAACAAAACTGAGGTCCCCACAAAACATGTGGGCACAGGAGCTGAAGCATGAGGGAGGGAAGCAGGTTCGATTTGGAGCAGCAGGAGTGAGTGGTGAGGGGCTGTGGGACAAGGGGCACTGTGTGTTAAGTGCAGTGTCTCAGCAGGGCATCCACGTTGGGGGCGGGGTGGGGGTGGGGCTTGAGAAAAGTAGTGAGACCGCGAAAGGGAGGAGTTTAGGGGTTAGAAGTGACAATGAGGACAGAAGGGATATGCATGGAGGTGGGGATTACCTTCCATCCAGGGTAAGGAGTAGGTCAGTACACAAACATTCTTGGCCACTGCGGAAACTCTAAAGCACTCTATAGGAATTACTCTTCCTGACCTCACTTCAGTGTGGTTCCCTCTTGTTAACAGTTGATATTCTTCTTCTGTGTGGCCAAAGTTAAGATCTTTCCACCTAGGTGTTCTTCCAAGTGAGAGTAGTGACTGCCATGAATGAGTTGCCTGTGCTGGGAACGTGTAATCAGTAGAGTCCTACTTCTTTACCTAGGGCTGTATTAAAAGTATGGCTAAGCATATGGACTCTGGGGTCAGATGTTTGGGTTGTACTCTGTGAAACCAGGAGAGCTCTGTACTATCTGGAATCTTCAGTTTCCTAATATGTCAGTGCATGTTGTAATCATACTGTTTATATAAGAGAATGAGAGTTAAAGCAGATAATGCCGCATGCTTAGCACAGTGACACATGTAACTCAACAAGTATTTTTGTTATATTTGTGTTGTGATTATTATGAAAGTCTATTTTCCCATGGGCTCACATAAGTTACACTGAATTTATTCCACACACTGTATTTTGTATCTGTACATTACTTAATGAAAGAAAATTGCAGGTTATTCTGTTTCTAAGTTTTAAAACAAGCACTCCATGATTGTAGTGATTACTTGTAGCAGAGGTTGGTGCTATAGTGAGACGTAGCAAGGGTTTTTTTTCCAAATATTTAACCTATTTTCAATTTACATGGTAAGAAAATAGCCACAGAGTGGCTGTCAGAAACCCACAGATCTCATGTCATGAGGGCTGAGTGTTGATGATTTTTCCAGAATGCCCCTCCAGCAGGAACTTACCCAGTGGGAGGTCTTTTGTATATTTAACTTTTTCTCAAAATTGTTTATGCAGTAACTCTACAATAGTCATGCTGTTTCTGTTTAAAATGTCTTTATAAAAATAAACACACATAACCTTCCCCTTACACCTGGTATCCAGCCTGGCTGGTCCTTAGTGGGCCAGTCCTACCTTTCTGATGAGCTGCCTGCCCCACCACAAGATGATTATTCAAGAGGTAACACCTGCCACAAACAACATTAAACTCTAAGGGACATTAACACTCTTGCATTTACAATCAGTGAACTTTGTCATCTTCGTGTTGTTATTTATGCAGCATTAACCTTTTTCTCCAGATCATTGAGACTGAAAATATGATGGACCGAATTGTGACTGGCTTGTCTGAGTCTAGTGTCAAGGTGCGGTTAGCTGCCGTCAGGTATGAGCTTTCAATGGTCTGAATCAAAATCTTTTGCCATGTGTTTAACCCATTTCCTTTCTGGTTCTTCACCAAGTAAGCGCAGAATCCACATTTGTTACTGGAAAGTATGCTCAGGTGAATTCGTACAGTGTATAGCATTATCTTAACAGGGAACCTGGCCTCCAAAGCCCTTGCAGTACCCTGACGTAGTTGACTTAACCATGTCTATAGATGCACTTGAAGTGTTTACTAGTCATTGTAAAATGCCAAACAGTTTGTTTGAAGAGGAAGTTTCAGCTTCTTCTGAAGCTAATTTTGATTGTTCTTTGTAGATGTTTGCACAGTTTATCCAGATCTGTGCAGCAACTTCGAACCAGTTTCCAGGATCACGCTGTATGGAAGCCTTTAATGAAGGTAAGCAGGGTCAACAGTAACACGCACACCCACAGAGCCTTCAGTGAGGGAGCCCCCAGACTTCCTCGTGGCTCCAGGTGTATGTCTGCTTTTGTGTAGAGCGTTTTAAACATCTGTCTCCTCACATCTTGTGTCCCAGACATCTGCACGTCAGAGAGTGTGTTTCTGAGGTTAGTGTCTCACGTGTAAGGGGCAGTTCCTGCCTGGTTTCCTTTTGTTTATTTATTAAAGCTTTAATTACATACCTTGCCTCCCTTTGTGTTCAGTGTTACACTTTAAACTTGTACCAGAGTTGTCCTTGTAATAATCAGTTATAGAAAGGAAAAAGCCCAGCCATTTATAGGTACAACATGTATAATGCAGATATACATGTAGTCTTTCGGTAATGCCTAGATGTTTTTCAACATGGGTTTTTTGGAGGTAGGTCTTCTATTGAGAGATTTCCTCCACATACACACCAAGGAGGGGAAAAAGATTCAGGGCAAATGAATCTGAGTGAAGATGTAGATTATGTGTGAGGTTGCTGCATTAGCATTGTCCCTTGCTATATTGCAGATCCACAGGTCAGCTGGGTCTTTGTCCTTTTTCTTAAGTGACCTTATTCCTTGTAGTTCACAGAATTTTAATTTGTTTTGATTTTTGAGTGTGTACTATGTACTAACTAAGCAAAGCCTCCAGGTATAGTGAACTGCCAAAAATTTTTACTGCATTGTTCTTGCTCTTGTTGGTGTGGTAGGAATAGTCAGAGAACCTTTCAGCAGCAAGAATGTGACATGGACTTTGAAAGCAAAAGGAAGACAGGAGGATTTCCCAGGGAGAATAGCATGAGCAAAAAAAATACTACATACAGTATGTATGGGAGATAGCAAAGATGCATTTTTGACTCTAGTAAAGAGGTAGAATTTACTAAGACATACCAGGGACATTGTTGGGCAGCAGGTTAAGCTGCTGCTGCCTATGATCCCAGCATCCCGTATCTGCATGCCACTTCGAGCCCCAGCTGCTTTGTTTCTGATCCAGCTCCCTGCTAATGTACCTGGGAATGCAGGGGAAGGTGGCCCAAGTACTTGAGTCCTTACCACCTAAATGGGAGACACAGAGGCCAGACCCAAGACAGGCTCCTGGCTTGGGTCTGGCCCAGCCTTGGTCATTACAGCCATTTGAAGAATGGATAGAAGATCCTTCTCCTTTTCCTCCCTCTCCCTTACCCCTGCCCCCTCCCCCACCTCTTCTCCCTCCTCCATCTCCCTCTCCTACTTCCTCTCCCCTTCTCCCTGTCTTGCTTTGTCAGTCTGCCTTGCAAGTAAAGAAATCCTTAAAATGAGGCACACCAGTGGACAGGGATGGAGCCAGGTGGAAGAGCTGAGCCAATGCTATAAGCTTTAGGAATTGCTTTGCTAAGAGGTTCATCTCATGGCAGAGTGCATGGTTTATGTTTGAGGTCCTGGAATAAGACAGTGCCAACAGGTGAACTCTGGAGATAAGTCAGTGGAAGGATTGACCAGGTTAAGTGTGTGAGTTACTATTCAGGAACTATTGGGAGGTTACCAAGAGGTTTTTAGTCTAAAAGAGTGTTATGATATGTCCTTGTGAGGACAATATAAGTTTCTTTAATTTCTCCTTTCTAATGGTCCTAAGCAGCCTGAAACATTGAACTTGACCCATTTCTATCCATCGGCACACTTCCCCAAGTTTCACCCTATTTCATCCTGTTGGACTTAGGTTTGTTCTGAATATCCCTCATTTGTTGCTTCCTGAACTTCATTAAGAGCCCAAACTCCCAGAAGGTTACTTCCCACTTCCCACTCTCCACCCACAGTAACAGAGCCCTTTAATACAGGGAAGACACTTGCTCAGGGAGTATTCTGTCTTGTACCAATAGAAGTCCATTTCAGGCCCACAATCCCTTATGCAGAACCATTCAAACTAGATTTGGCACTCTGGGTTCTTTAAGGTTCTTTTCTTTTACTATTCCCACTCTTTCTTCTTCTTAGGTTGTGCCTTTTTCATAGCAGCTTGATCTATGATTTATTGCATATCCATTTAAGTTTTTTTTAAGTACTCTTTGGCTTCCTAAAATAACTCTCCTGGCATCCAGAGTCATTTTCTTTAATTGCTCAGTTCAGTTACTCCTCTACCATACGAATCAGAAATGGAGCAACATGTGGTTTCTATCTGGTTCTCCCTAGGAAAACTAGATGACTACCTGGCGAGCAATCTAGAAGGATTTTGTGCACCTGGGGGTATATGTGGGTGTAATGACTCTCAAACTCTAACATTTAAAGTAAGTGTCAAAAGCTTGGAAGAAAACCGATGATTTACTTCAGCTGCTTTTTGGTTTCTCATCAGAGTTCAGAGGCTGTGAGGATAGTTATGGACTTTTCCCTTGTGCTTTTTTGTATTTAAAACTAATGATTGTTTTGGAAGAGTAGATGTTTTTCATTACAGTTTTTAGTTGTGATTATTTTTGTTCCTGTTTTGGTAAAATTCTATTTGATGTTGGCTTTTGAATTTCACATGTTGTATCTTACACTATACCAAGTAATGCTTTTTTACAATCTCTTCAGTTTTAGTTTATCAGTGGAAGTTAAATAATTTGAAAATAAAACTTCATAGGCCAGTGCTGCGGCTCACTTGGCTAATCCTCCGCCTGTGGCGCCAGCACCTTGGGGTTCTAGTCCCAGTTGGGGTGCCAGATTCTGTCCCGGTTGCTCCTCTTCCAGTCCAGCTTTGTGCTGTGGCCCAAGAGTGCAGTGGAGGATGGCCCAGGTCTTTGGGCCCTGCACCTGCCTGGGAGACCAGGAGGAAGTGCCTGGCTCCTGGCTTCGGATTGGCGCAGCGCGCCAGCCACAGCATGCCGGCTGTGGCGGCCTTTTGGGGGGTGAACCAACAGAAAAGGAAGACCTTTCTCTCTGTCTCTCTCTCTCTCTCACTGTCTAACTCTGCCTGTGAAAAAAAATAAAGTAAAAAAATAAAACTTGATAAAAGTAAATTCATCATTATCAATAATTAATGTTTTTAAAAGCAAACCATGTCAGCTAAAGCAATGTTTTAAATACTTGGTAGGCATTCACTTATTTCAACCAATGATTACAAGTAGTACTATTTTGGAAAATGATTATTTCTGTTAATAAACATTTATTGAGCACCCATTTTGTTCAGTGCCATTGGGTTACTACAGGTCAAGATAAATAAAATCATGCATACTTTTTTTTTTAAAGATTATTTATTGGAAAGGCACAGAGACAGGGAGGAGGGGAGGGACAGGGATCTTGTATCTGCTGGTTCACTCCCCAAATGGCTACAACAGCTAAGGCGGGGCCAGGCCAAAGCCAGGAAGGAGCCAGGAACCCTGTACAAGTCTCTCACCTGGGTGGCAGGGGCCCAAGTACTTGGGCCGTCTTCTGCTGCTTTCCCAAGCACATTTACAAGGAGCTGGATCTGAAGCAGAGCAGCTGGAACTCCAACTGGTCCTGATACGGGATACTGGCTTTGTAAGCAGTGTTTACCTGCCGCACCACAACACTGTTCCCAAATCCTACATACATAGAATATTCCTTCAAGAAGCTTAAATGTATTAATAGAAGAGGAGGTCATAACTGCACAATGGCAGTCAGTGGTTGAGATTCTAAGAGGTTGGAGAGCAGCAGAGGGAACTCAGGAGGACAGAATGACTTCTGACTAGCAGGGCTGGGTAGAGGAATGGCAAGGGAAGGATAAACAAGTTCGAGGAGGCTATGACAGACAATGTTTAGCATTCGTAGGATATGAGATAATTGATCTCATCAACTAACCATATACAGGAGGATTAAAATGGTGTCTTTGGAGAACTACTTTAATTCTTATTCTTGGGAAATTCAGACTTGGCTTAACTGAGGAAAGCAGATAAGATATTTAACTGGAAGTTTTTGTGATTATCCATTTCTAGTTTGCACAACTAGATTTCCTAGGACTTCTTTTGGTATCATAAGCCTGAGCCTGATCTGATCCTAACCACAGAGGGAACAGAACGGGTTATGGCTAAGTGGTAGTATTTATAGAACTTTCTCTATTAGAATCTATAAAGAATAGATTCTGATAGTAGATAACAGCAGCTAACATTTATCACCATGCTATGTTGTCTTCTGAGTTTAGTGAGATTCTGTGCCAGTTAGTTTATTGTATACCCACTATGTGCCTGATAACAATAATTATGGTAATAAGTTACTTTCTAAAAAACCTTACTTTCATAGCTGTTACTCTGTGCCAATTACCATTCTAAACTCTTTTCACATATTCTCACAGCTACTTTATGAAGCAGGTCCTATTATTATCCCCATTTTATTGTGAAAAGTTAAAATTGTATATGTGCGGGTGTAAAAAGTTAAGCTTAAGCTTACAGGTTTAAACCTTCCTGGTGCAGCTGTAAAAATAAGACAGAGTAAAGTAGCACCTTGACAGTAGGGACTCCATTTTGGAGCACTTGAGACTCCATTCTGAGAAAGCACCCCCCCACCGTGAGACTCTGGTCTGAAACTATGATCTCAAATAGTCGGACAATAGCAGTGCACTACATCACCCTTGGCAATGCACAAAAACCCCCTAGCATGATTGCTCAAGCTTAAAAGTAGAAAGGTTGCACCTGGGTTACCTGGGCTAATAATAAAGATGTGATTTGTCTGTGTCTTACATTAATGTCAAGTCCTAATTGCTAATTGTAATATTGTAACTGGTATTGTCAAGATTATGATAAATATTAATTTCACTTAGGTTTTAGGTTATGTTGACCCCAGTAACCATATACTCTCTTTTGATTTTATGTACTCTCTTTTGATTTTAACAACTGTGTATAGCAACCGTTCATAGCAACCATGTATTCTCCCCTTCCCGGTTTTGCGGTTTTTGCCTTTATAAACCCTAACCTTTGGTTATTCGGGGCAGCTCTGTTCATGTATGATCAGACAGCCCCAGCATGCTGGATAATCAATAAATCTTTAACCCTTTGCTGGTTGCATGAGAGAAAAGTCTCTTGGAGTCGTTCCTCGGGCGGTGGGCTTTTTCTGACTCTAACAATTGCTGAAGAAGTCATACCGTTTTTTAGGTGATTGAGCTGAAATTTGTATCCAGACAGTCTATTTTTAATTCCCTTGCTAAGGTGTTTCCCTTATCATTAACCATATTGCATTTAATCCTCCGTAGTCTTACCTAGGAGGTGATAATTGCCCTCAATTGTAAAGGAAGAAATAAATGAAGACAGCGAGGTTAAGAATTGTGCTCAGGTTGACACAGCTGATTAGTGGAGGAGTCTGTGTGGTGCGGGTCCTGAGAACTAGCCCCCGTACTGCCCCCTGCCTGTGTAGTGGCCTGATCAGCCCGAGCTCCTGGTCAAACAGGCCCTCCTAGAGGTGCTTCAGAAGGTCAAACTCTTTGGCAGTTCTGTGGATTCGTAAGTGGCCAGATTCAATGAAGCAGAGTATGCTAACTTGCCACGAGCACCCTGTGAGCTTCAAGATTCTCAGCTTGAGCACCGCTCCATGGCTTGTCTGTCTCCTTGCCATACACCCTCAGTGAGGCTGCAGTTTCTCCAGCCAAGAATGATGTTGAAGGCCTTAGTCATAATTACACTACTAAGTAAAGTTTGACACAGTATCAAGTGGATTTTTCCAAAACATCTCCAAAATGAGAAATCAGGTTGAGAGATAATGGTTTTTGTCTTTTATTTAGTCTGTGATCTCAACTCCATGATTCCAAACCACTAATAATGATACCCATTTTTTAATTCTATAGGTTTTACAAAATGCACCTGATGAAATCCTTGTAGTAGCATCTTCTATGCTATGTAATCTTCTTCTTGAATTTTCTCCAAGCAAAGAGGTTTGTACTGATTTTCTCTTCTCAGACTTTGTTCAGTCCAGTAGTTGACATTGAAATTTATGAATTGGGTTTAAAAATCACTTCTGAATTGTTTGGTTTGGGGAAGGGGAAGCAGTAAGTAAGTAATTCATTTTTAAATGTGATTGGCATTTCCCATCATTCCTTTTATTCTACCTCGAATATTCAGATTATTTTGAAGATACAGCTTGTAATCAATCTAAACTGCCTGATACTACAAATGTGAGAAATAATTATACAGGTAATAGACTATTGTCAAATTATATTCATTAAAGACTCGATTTTATAAACCAGCATGATGAGTCATTTTAAGGAGATACCTGCTGACAACAGAAAAATAGTTTTTTAATGTTTAATGTTAATGGTTGGTATTTTTTTCCTTGAATTGAATGTAGCAATTTTTCCCTTTTCTGCATTTTATAAGTTATTTGTTCCTGTTTAATTTTTCCAATAGGGAAAATGAAAATAAACTTTAATGAAGAAGGAGAGAAACTTGATGAAGTTAGTTTTTAATATCTCTGGTCTGCTCAAACATTAACTCAGGTTTATTGTACATTTAGTAGTCTCATTTTCATTGAATATATTTTCTGTATTCTAATACCTACAGGCTTTGACTATAATTAGGAAGGCAGTATTAACAAGGTGTGGAGATTCAACAGTGACTATTATCAAGCAACAATCTTGGCACAAAAGCAGGGGGACTGGTAGTTACTGCTGAGGAGGAAAAAGGCAAGATAAGATGCCAGAGCTTCACTCTGTTTTCCTCTGCCCTGTACTGGAGTCTGGAAGCCAGTGTGCTTCTATCAGTAATCCTTGAACAGTTCTTTTTTTCAGATCTACCTTCAGAATATTTAGAGCCTATTTAGGAAATAGGTAGATGAGTTCAGACATAGAACCATTAATATGATTTTTTTGTATTCAAAATAAACTGAATCTGAAACTGAAAAAGAGGGAAAGGGGCTGGTACTGTGGCATAGTGGGTTAATGTTTGGTCTGCAGTGCTGGCATCCCATGTGGGCGCCGGTTTGAGTCTGTGCTGCCCCACTTCCGATCCAGCGCTCTGCTGTGGCCTGGGAAAGCAGAGGATGGCCTGGGTCCTTGGGCCCCTGTACCCTCATGGGAGACCCATAAGAAGCTCCAGGCTCCTGGCTTTGGGTCAGCCCAGCTCCAGCCATTGGTGGCCATTTGGGGAGTGAACCAGTGGATGAAAGACCTTTCTCTCTCTCTCAAGTCTGCCTTTCAAATAAATAAATAAATCTTTAAAAAAGAAAAAGAGGGAAATACTACTATGAAACATTTTTGGACCAATTGAAAGTATTGGAATATGGGCTCTAGGTTAGATAATAGTATTGTTTTAATTTAATTTCACTTTTTGGGCCAGCGCTGCGGCTCAATTGGCTAATCCTCCACCTGCAGCGCCGGCACCCCAGGTTCTAGTCTTTGTTGTGGCGCCGGATTCTCTCCCAGTTGCTCCTTTTCCGGTCCAGCTCTCTGCTGTGGCCCGGGAAGGCAGTGGAGGATAGCCCAAGTCTTTGGGCCCTGCACTCGCATGGGAGACCAGGAGGAAGCACCTGACTCCTGGCTTTGGATCTGCGCAGCACGCCGGCCATAGCAGCCATTTGGGGGGTGAACCAACAGAAGGAAGACCTTTCTCTCTCTCTTTCTCTCTCTCACTGTCTAACTCTGCCTGTCAAAAAAAAATTTTTTTTTTTCACTTTTTGAACTTGATAACTGTGCTGTGGTTATCTTAAGAGAATGTCTCTGTTCTGGGGCTGATGTTGTGGCACAAGGGGTTAAGCTGCCTCCTGAAATTGAGTGCCCATTGCAGTCCTAGCTGCTTCACTCCCAATCCAGCTTCCTGCTAATGTATCTAGGAAAGCAGTGGAGGATGGCTCAAGTGCTGGGCCTCTGCCACTCCTGCAGGAGACCCAGATGGAGTTCTAGGCTCCTGGTTTGGGCCTGGCCCAGCCCTAGCTGTTGTGGCCATTGGGGAGTGAACCAGTGAATGGAAAATTCCACCCTCCCCCCACCAACGTCTGTCTGTCTCTGTCTCGCTCTCCGACTTTCAAATAAATAATTCTTTAAGAAGAGAAAATATCTCAGTTCTTGGGAAATACATATTGACGTATTAAGGGTAACGGGACATGATGTATGCACTCTACTTTCTAATGGTACAGCAAGGACACATAGTGTAGATATAGGTGTGTTAATCAAAAGATGTGATAAAGGAGCTATGGCAAAATGTTAAAGATTGGCAGATCTGGGAAAAGAATATGTGGGAGTTCCTTGGGTTATTCTTCCTACTTTGTAAGTCTGAACTTATTTCAAAATAGTTTCAGAAAGTGCCACAATTACCCCTGTTCTAAAATGTCATCTTGAAATCTAGGTGTATTGGTATGAATTTGTATTATGATTCTCCAGAGAGGAAGATTCAGTAGAATGGATGGATGAATATACATACATACATATAGAAAGAGAGAGAGAGGGAAAGGATTTATTAAGAAATTGGCTTGTCTGATTATGGCAAGAGAAATTCCATGATATAGGATATGGAAATTCCATGTAGGCCTGAGACACTGGGCTGCTGGTAGTGTGGCTCAGTCCAGATGCGAAGGCTTCAGTTGTATGGTCCTGCTCACGTTGAAGGTGGATCTTCCCCCTAGTCCATGCAGACTCACTAGCCAGATTCCTCGGGAAATGGCTTCACAGACACACACAAAGAAACGCTTTCCCAGGTTTCTAGTTATTCCTTGATCTGATCACGTTGACACCTAAAATTAACCAGCATAATATTATTTAAGACATTTTTTAGCAACTACTTGTCAGAATAACCTTCAAGTATTTATTGGGGATGACAAATTTTAATCCTCTAAGGTTTCTTTTTTAAAGAAATTGACAAAAACCCATTTTTAGCCAAATGCCATAAATAAAAGTGGTCAGCCTTAAGTGCAAAATGTGACTTAACTATAAAAGTAGACAATTGTTTTGCTTATGTGGTTGATACATAGTCCTGAAAATTGTCCCAGAAGGTGAATTCTGTAGCATGTTTAAAATAAGATTTACAGTTTGAAAAGAAGATTTGGTTGTGGAATTTCTATTTCTTCCCTAAATAAACCATATTGCTTCATAGTCACAAATAGTGAGCAGCACACATGCATAAACAAAGCAGCAGTGACGGAACCTCAGAGGGTGGTAAGAACTGAGAGTAGGAGCTAGATTCATAGGGTCATAGAGTCTGAGGGTACATCAGCATTATAAGGTAAGTTTATCTTGGTGCACAAGAATGTTTGAAATTCATGTATATTTTTTCATAATGCACACTTCACATGAACCTTTCAAAGATACCCATATATGAATGGGTTTTTAAAATTTTCACCAAAATAAATTTATATTTTAATTCCATTTTTCCACTGATTTAAGTGTCCTCACATGTATGGAATATACAATCAGGGTGTTATCCAGAACTACAAAGAAAAAGGATACAATAGAAATAATTTTGTTTTTTTAAGATTTTTATTTTATTTATTTAAGAGGCAGAGTTACAGACAAAGAGAGGGAGACACAGAGAAAGAGGTCTTCTTTCTGCTGGTTCACTCCCCAAATGGACACAGTGATCCGAAGCCAGGAGCCAGGTGCTTTCTCCTGGTCTCCCATGTGGGTGCAGGGCCCAAGCACTTGGGCCGTCTTCCACTGCCTTCCCGGGCCACAGCAGAGAGCTGGACTGGAAGAGGCCATGGTGCCAGCCAGTTTGTCTTTCTTAAGGTGATGTTTGTGGCCACATCACTCTCTGCCTTGCGAAAATTGTTTAGAATCTTATGTAAGATTAGGGGAGAAATTATAGGCAGAATATCAGGGTATAAGAATTTGCTTATGAGGTTTGCAAACTTGACTTTAAAGCTGTGTTTTTTTTTCCTTTCCAATCACAGCCAATTCTAGAATCAGGAGCCGTAGAGCTACTTTGTGGATTAACCCAGAGTGAAAATCCTGCTTTACGAGTGAACGGAATTTGGGCCTTAATGGTATGTTTCACCCTTTTATATAATGTAATTCACAAAGAAAATAGAGCTATTAGCAAAATGAGAACTAAAGAATGTGTTATTTGAAATGTCTGCAGGTTTTTTTTTTTTTTTTGAAAAATACAATTACAGTCAAGTTTTCTTATGATCTAGATTTAATGATCTAAATTCTAGAACCTAGAAGACTCAGTATTCAGATTTCAGACTACTGTATTCCATGGTTCTCATTTTTATTATTAGGAAAGTGAGCAGATTTTTAAGTTTGCCTTATCTGATTTTGGGAAACACATTTCCTCATCATGACCGTCCTGATATCTGTATAGCACTACTACTATACAGAAGCACTTCACAAAGCGCTTTCAGGTCTCCTTGCTCTTCAGAGCAGCTTTATGAAATAAGCCTGAGTGTGTTCTTATCCTGCTTCACAGAGAGAGAAACTGAGGCACAGAATGGTTTTTTTTTTTTAACTGACAAGTAAAAGTTATGTATTTGTGGTGTACAACATGATGTTTTGAAACATGTATGCATTGTGGAATGGCCATGCTGAGCTAATGAACTTCTGTTATCTCACATACTTAACATCTTTGCAGAATGATTAAATAATCTGTCTAAAATAACCACATTCGTGTGTACGTATTTAATAATTCTTAACAGTTTATAGTAAATATAATAATCTAGATTCTGAAACTTAGGTGAGAGAATGATTTTCCTTCAGATTATTAAAATAAATTTTATTGAAATTAAAAAGCAGGTAGTCTTATGTGGATTTCTTAAAACATAATTGTAATAATTAGAATTTAATTGCTGTATGCTAAACACCAAGCTAGGTGTTTTATATTTTCTTTCTCTAATTCTTTAAGTTATGCGTGTATGCATTCATGTTATAAACAGGAAAACAGGACTCCGGGTAAATGAGTTGTCAATAGCTTTATGGCTCATAGTGATGGAAGTGAGTTCTAAACCTGTCCCAAGCTCATACTTTTCTCCCAATTCCTTGCAGTATCTGCCGTTTTCATATGAACTTTTGGATAGAAATAATCATCTTATAAGAAAGCATTAAATCTAGTAGTTTCACATTCTTTTCTGTAACTTTACATAGCTTTTATCACTTCGTTTTCTTGAAACTCTTGCCTAGGACTTTTTTCTTTTTTCTTTTTCTTTTTTTTTTTTTTTTTTTTTTAACCTTGGATCTTTCACTTTTTACCTAGCCACCTTTTTGACCTTCTCAGGGGATGATCCCTCAAGTTTCATTTCAGTTCCCAGTTTCCAGTTCCCTTTTTTTAAAGAGGGGGCGGAGGGGAAGATTTATTTTTTACTTATTTGAAAGAGTTAGAGAGAGAGAGAGAGAGAGCTTCCATCCGCTGGTTCACTCCCCAGATGGCCCAGATGAGCCAGGAGCCAGCAGCAGCTTTATCTAGTCTCCCCCCGTGGGTGGCAGGGCTCAAACACTTGGGCTGTCTTCCACATCTGGGACATGAACCTGTGCCCATATGGGAGGCAGCAACTTTACCAGCTTCGCCACACCACCAGTCCCCTTCAGTTCCCTTTCACACTCAGTTCCAGAGATTTCTGTCATGGTTTCAGCTCCACCTAACAGAGGGGATATCTTTCATATCTACATATGCAGATGTAACTATTGCCTGTCCCCAGATTTGTCACCTAAATGGCCTCTGGGACTTCATTTAAGAGCTCCCTGACATACACACTTCAGTGGTGGAAATCATCCCACCCACTCACATCCATACAAACTTTCCTATTCTCATCAGTCTCCATACTACCAGTTGCTATGTTCTCTGTATACAAAAGATAAAATCTTGGAGTCAGTTTTTGCCATGGATAATTTTATATATCTTTTTTTAAAGATTTTATTTATTTATGTGAAAGGCAGAGTGACAGAGGGAAAGAGATCTTGTGTTTTCTGGTTCACTCCCCAAATAGCTGTAATGGCTGGGAGTGGGCCAGGCAGAAGCCAGTAGTCTGGAACTCCATCCTGGTCCCCCACAGGGGTGTCAGGGACCCATTTGGATCATCTTCCAGCGCGTTCCCAAGCACAGTAGGAGGCAGCTGGATTGGAAGTAGAGCAGCCAGGACTTGAACCAGTGCTCCAGTGTGGGATGCCAGCTTAATCTGTTGTGCCACAACACTAGCCCTGGCTTGGGTCTCTTCACACACCCAGCAAGTACTCTTTTTTGCTCTGCCTTGGCATCAATGAGTAATTTGATCCTTCATGTGCAGTGGCTCCTTAATTAAATCATATCCTGGAAAGCAATAACAAATATTATAATCTGTAGTTTACAGAGATCTTTATTCCATTGTTATTTGGAATTTTCTGTGTTTTCATCCTTGTCATCTTCCTTGGGATTTAGTTGGACTTATCCATAGTGTACACTGGGAAAAAAAGGAGCGCCACAGCTGCTGGCCCTCTGGGTGCTGGCAGCTCAGATGTGCTTCCTACCCACTGACCCAGCTACACCAACACCTAGCGTAGTACTGTGAATACAATAGGTGTTTTCATTCGAGTAGGTTTCAAAAACACACTGCTTACTTTCATCCATAATAAATGAATACTTTGAAAGCCTTCTCAAAATTCATGGCACACTAAAATTGTTAATAGCCACTTTGTTATTAAAGTACATAAAAGGCAACTTGATAACCATATTTTCAGAAATCATAAATGAATTTTCTACTTGAGAAATATTATCCAAATTCTCAGAAAGTGGTCATTTGCCTCTTATGGAAGGTTGTCTAGAAGTGAGAATTACCTTTCTTTTGATAGACAAACGTAGTGTTGTTTATATTTAAGAATTTTCTCCAGTTCCTACTTGTTCTTTGAAAATTATCAGCTGCTATTAAAATATGATAAATGTAGATATGATTCTTGGAACTTCTTTAATCCTTTCAGAATATGGCATTTCAGGCTGAACAAAAAATAAAAGCAGATATTTTACGAAGCTTGAGTACTGAACAACTATTCCGGTTATTATCAGATTCAGATTTGAATGTGCTGATGAAGACTTTGGGACTTCTTAGAAATCTCCTGTCTACTCGGCCTGTAAGTACAATCATCCAGCCTTCCAGATGAGCTGACCCTGCACATGCACTGCAAAGCATTGCCAATCTCTCTCTGCCCCACCAGCATCTCCCTGTGGTTGTGATTCAGGTGCAGCCTGGAGAAGCAAAGAGTTGGTATCTAGATCTGTCATCTTCCCCTTGCTCTCCACTCTCAACACTGCCAGTCCTGTCTCCTTGTGCTTAGTGTGTGCCTGCCTTCATGTGCCACCTTATTCTTGCTTGGTTTGCTGGCCAGAATGGGTTTTCTCATCTGCCTAAATCACTTCTCTCTAGGATCTCTGCTTTTAATACTTTGAGAGTTCTTCTCGGTGCCATTCCATAACCTCTTTATCCCCCGAGCTCCAGGTTGCATGTTTACAGCAGTGACCTCTGAAGAGGTCAGCTGGTACCTGTCAGAGTAAGAGAGGCCGAGCCTTGCTGCTGGGGCCCCTCTGCCTGCTGTCCTCTCATGTTCCCGGAGCTCCAGCGGCAGTGGAGTGGTCCTCAGGAGGGTGAAGAGGCAGGGGTGGGCCCCAGCTCTGTGACTCACTGTCTCTAGAGTTGTCTTTATGCATCTCTGCCCAAAATAGCATTAGTACATCTACACCATATTTCCTATGTCTCTGGCCTTTTCTCACTGCCTTCTTTGTTGTGCGTCTGTGTGTGCATATGCGCTTTGTTTTTCTTTAGTGTCTTTGGGCTTGAGGATCCCCAACAATTATAATTCCATATTTCTCAAGCCTACTCTGTATTTGCTTCGTGTTCAAGCTTTCAAAAAGATATATTTGAAGGCAAAATAACAGCTTTAAAATATAATAAATACTATTCTTTGGCCTCTAATTCTATATACGATGGCATTCTGCTTAAAGCAGTTGTGTATCTTAATATTTAACTTTTAGAAGCCTTCTATTCTTTCCTGTAGTCTTTTTTGTGTTTGTTTCCCAGAGGATAATTGTGGGTTTCTCATTGTTTTACAGCACATAGATAAAATAATGAGCACTCATGGAAAGCAAATTATGCAAGCCGTCACCCTTATTCTGGAAGGGGAGCATAACATTGAGGTCAAAGAGCAGGTATGTGTGGTTTTCTCTTGGGAAATATTTTCTGAATATGAGCACAAAGGAAGACCCTAGGAGCCTCCTGGTATACTCCGATCTCCAGGAGCCAGGTGCTGAGATGCCAAGTACTCTAGAGATTGAAGTCCTCCACCACTCCTTAAACTCTCTTCCAGAATTCTTGGGATACAGGAAAACGAGAACAGAGTTCATAATTTTTCCGTCACATCACACACACTGCATAAACTGCCTCTGTCTGTACAGGAGCAGCTACCTCTGGTCATCCCGGAGTGAATCTTTTCTGCAGGATTCCCTGTTTCCAGCCCTCTCCAATGCTGTGCTCTGAACTCACATTCAGGCAACTGCCCGTTAGGATAATTCCTCATCCTTGAGACCATTTTGGTTTCTTTACTTCTAGGTATCACTTTTTTTCCCCATCCCATTCCCCTACTTTCTGTCAAGTTTCAGTGTAGTACAAGTTTAGAGCAGGCATAGAAGTCCTGGAGGCTGTGAATTTATCAGGAGGTCAATCGGGAATTACTTTTCTGTACTTCCTGGGATTTATCATGGGGCTTGTAGTATAGCAGATATTTTATTTGCCATCAGGGTAAAGGTCACTTGCAAACTAAAGATTTTAACACATGATCTTGTCCAGGTTCTATTGTTTGTTGACGTAAATGTTGGCTACATGGATGTGTTCACTTTCCAAATTCATTGAGCTGTATGTGTGTATATATAGTTCTGTATTTGTGAAAGAAACTTGCCGATATCCTCAGTGGAGAGTTGGCCCCAGAGAGTCTGACTGCTGGGCCCATGGTTCTCATCCTTTGTGGTCCTAAGTTAGTGATTCAGTGGGCTTCAGAGGGGTGGGCCAGCTAGCAAGAGTGCTTGGACTTGGGAGCTGTGATTGTATTTGTGAGCAAAAATGGAAGTAGGCTTGATAGAATGGCTTTAAGGATGGATATTTTAGGTGATTTCTCTTAAATAATAACTTTTTGGTGAACAAAAACTTAACCCAGAAAAAAATATGATTTCATCAACATCACTGAAATAAGATACATTACAACAATAAAGAAAGACATTGTTCAAAAAACTTTTACTTGGAGGGCTCTGATACTATATATATAAGTATATATATAGTAATACTATTATAATATGCATATAACACTAATATTATAATCTGATACTATATATAATATAATACATACATGTATTATGTGTATATGTTTGCATTCATGATTTCCTGGCTCCTATCTTCCAGGACTTGTATTTCCTAACTGACTGGAACCATAACCATATATTTTGTTAAAATATTTGGCTTTTTGTCCTTGGTTCCTAAAGCAGCTTTGGAGGGCTCCAAAGGAATGGAGGTGAAGACAGTCCTTTGCTTCAGTGTGAGGCACTGCAGGCCACCAGCAGGCCTCAGAAAGCAAATCTCTCCCTCCCTGCCCTCCTCCCTTCACCAGCTCTGGGCAGGTCTTGTGAACTAGTTTCTCTTCCCCATGGTGAGTCACAGAAATCCTAGCCTTCCTTCCACCTTGTGTCTTAGAGCAGGCCTTAGAAAAATGTCCTGATGGTAGATCATGGGACTTCATTTCCGAAGCGGTCCTGCCCCATACAACGAATCCAGACAGGTCTTGCAAGCTTTCCCCGCTAAGTCTGTTAGCAGTAGATCTGAGGCTTTTTGTCTAGTCACTTTTCTACATGGTTGTCCAAGCTTCAGCCATGCTTATGTGATGAAGTCTCTATTAAAACTCTCAAAAAATAGATTTTGGAGAGATTCCAGATAGCCAAATGCAAAGCTTCCTAGAAGGAGGTACTTGGGAAAAAAAAAAAAGAAGGTGGTACTTGGAGAGGATGTGAAAGCTCCCTACCCCTTCCCCCACACCTATCCCTGTGCCCTTTGTAATGTACTTTATAATAAATCTATAAACATAAGTGTTTCCCCGAGTGCTGTGAGACACTGGAGCAAATTCACACTGGAGAAGGGTAGCTTGCAATTGGCATCTGGAGTGGCGGGGGAGGGGCAGTCCTGAGGACTGAGCTCTGTGTGTGTGTGTGTGTGTGTGTGTGTGAGAGAGAGAGAGAGAGGGAGGGAGGGAGGGGGAGTAGGAGGGGGACAGAGAGAGAGGGAAAGAGAGAGAGAGGGAGGAAGGAGGCTATCTCCAGGTAGAGAGTGTCAGAATTGCATTGAATTACAGGGCACCCAGCTGGTGTCTTCTGCAGAATTGGTTGCTTGGTTCCTGATGGGAAGAAGTCCCCATACTTTTTGGAGTCACAGAAATGATCTGTGTTAGGAGAAACTAGTAGGAGAAGTAAGTTTGTTTTTCCTCTATGTCCTAAGACAAGCATAAGAATGAAGCAAGGCAAAAAAAAGTGAGGCAAGACATGGATGAGAGCAAAAGAAAACGTGATCCTTAGTATAGATTGTGGAGGTGGCCCGGATGTAGGCGAATGTGGGTGGTTCAGACTGTTCCCTGGAAGTTTCAGCATCTGGTACTTTTTTTTATTGAGGTGGTAATTGACATACGATAAGCTGCTTAGTGATTACCATTGTCCAGATATTGAACATATCTATCCCTGCCCATATGCGGGCACAAGACAAGTAGGTCCATTGGTGTCACTCTGTCACTCCTGCTCAACATATGCAGGGATTCCTACCACATAAGTTAAGGCAAGAGAAAGAAATGAAGCATACAACTTGGAAAGGAAAAAGTAAAACTTCCCAGAAACCACAGGTGCCTATATAGAAAATGTCATGGACTCATCAAAAAACTCTAGAGGAGCCAGCATTGTGGTATAGCAGGGAAAGTCACCACCTACGACGCTGACATCCTGTATGTGTACCGGTTCACGTCCCAGCTGTTCCACTTCCATTCCAGCTCTCTGCTGATGTGCCTGGGAAAGCAGCGGACGATGGCCCAAGTGCTTGGGCCTCTGCAACCACGTGGGAGACAGAACTCCTGGCTCCTGACTTCGGCCTGGCCCAGCCCCAACCATTGCAGCCATTTGGGGAATGAACCAGTGGATGGAAGACCTCTGTCTCTCTCTCTCCCTGTAATTCTGCCTTTCAAGTAACTAAAAAACAATCTTAAAAAAAGAAAAAGCCCTCTAGAATTAAAAAATGAATTAAGCAATGTCACAGTTGGAAAAATCAATTGTATGTAGCAGTGAACAAATGGAAGCTGAAACATTTTTTTAAAGTGTCATTTACAGAAGTTCAGGAAAAAAGTGATTTTTTTTATTCCCAAAATAGTAAAGCAAAGCATTTAGTTTTCCACTATTGAAAATGTGAGCTGTAGGTTTCTCACGGGTTCTGTTTATTAGGTAAAAGAAATTTCCTTCTTTCTTGAGTTTATTTATTCCCCCTGCCCACCTTTTTTCTTTTTTTAAAAAAATCTCCCATCCACTGATTCACTCCCCCAAATACCTGGCCAGGGCTGGTCCAGGCCAAAGCCAGGAGCCTGGAATTCAATCCGGGCCTCCCATGTGAGTGACGGGGACCTAACCTCTTGAGCCATTCACTTAACTGCTTCCTGATCACATTAGCAAGAAGCAGGAATTGGGAGTGGACCTGGAACTTGAACCTAGGTACCCTGACAGGGGATTGGGACATCACAAGCAGCATCTTAACAACGTCAGATGCCTGCCTCAGTTTATTGAGGTGGTTGTTTTTTTTTTTTTTTTTGACAGATAGAGTTAGAGACAGAGAGACAGAGACAGAGAGAAAGGTCTTCCTTTTGTTGCTTCACCTCCCAAATGGCCGCCACGCCGGAGCTACACCGATCGCTGATCTGAAGCCAGGAGCCAGGTGCTTCCTCCTGGTCTCCCACGCGGGTGCTGGGGCCCAAGCACTTGGGCCATCCTCCACTGCCCTCCCGGGCCACAGCAGAGAGCTGGACTGGAAAAGGAGCAACCGGGACAGAGCCTGGCACCCATATAGGGTGCTGGTGCCGCAGGCGGAGGATTAACCAAGTGAGCCACGGCGCCGGCCCCTGAGTTTTTAATCATGAGTATATATTAGACATTTTCTTGTAACCAATTACTTTTTCTGTATCTGTTGAAATAATCTTGTTTTAGTCTGATTAATATAGTGAATTTCATTGAGTTCAGCTGTTAAGCTAATCTTGCATTGAAACAGACCTACTTGGTCATTATGTATTATCCTTTGCCTATGTTATTGGGTTCATTAATGGTATGTGTACCATTTTAATCTTTGCTCCCTGGCTTGTATATTGAATTGACTTAGTCCCCAAACTAATTGAGCTCTTTAAGACTTGGTAGTTTGTCTCCACAGAATTATTAGATTTGTGTGAGCATTAAAGCAGAACTGTAGCTCACTCTGTGATACTGTTCAAGCCTAATGATGTATGTGTGTATTCTAACACTACAAAAAGCGAATCATAAGGCCAGCATTGTAGGGTAGCAGGTAAAGCCACCATCTGCAATGCTAGCATGCCATATGGGTGCCGGTTCAAGTCCCAGATGTTCCACTTCCGATCCAGCTCTCTGCTATAGCCTGGGAGAGCAGATGGCTCAAGACCTTGGGCTGCTGCACCCTCATAGGAGATCTGGAAAAAGCTTCTGGCTCCTGGCTTCAGATCCGCTCAGCTCCAGCCATTGTGGCCATTTGGGGAGTGAACCAACCAGCAGGTGGAAGACCTTCTCTCTGTCTCTGCTTCTCTCTATAGCTCTGCCTCTCAAATAACTAAATAATTTTTTTTTAAAAGTGGGTCACTTACCTGTCTTGCTGTCTTAATTTATTCTGAGGAACATTTTCTGAAGTTCCCCTTTATATTCTGTTTTTGAGTCTAAAGGTGTTTGCCGTTTCCTCCTCTTCCCAGAAATGCCTTAGTCATGAAGCCTTGTGAAATCCGTATCCATGATTAGGGTCATTGCTGTTATTTCCTCTTACAGTTCTCTGGCCAGCTCACAGGATGGGGTTTCCTGGTGAGAAATGGAGTGGGGCAGGGAGGAGATTGAGAAGAGAGAGATCCTTCAATCTGCCCCCTTTCTGCCTCCCAGCCAGGCTGTATACTTGTGTTCCTGTGGCTTGGCCTCTGCATTTGGATTTTGTCCATTATATATATATATATATATATATATATATAGTCCATATATATATATATATAAAGATTTTATTTATTTATTTAAAAGAGTTACAGAGAGAAGGAGAGACAGAGAGAGAGAGAGAGCAATCTTCCAACCACTTGTTCACTGCAAATGGCTGCAGTGGCCAGCGTTGGGCCATGCCGGATCCAGGAGCCAGGAGCTTCCTCCAGGTCTCCCACATGGGAGAGCTATACTTGGACCATCCTCTGCTGCTTTCCCAGGCACATTAGCAGGGAGCTAGATTGGAATTGGAGCAGCTGGGGCATATAGGATATGTAAAGATTTATTTATTTATTTGATAGGCAAGGTTACAGAGACGCAGAGGTAGAGAGAAAGAGAGGTCTTCCATCCTCTGATGTACTCCCCAGATAACCACAATGGCCAGAGCTGCACTGATCCAAAGCCAGGAGCCTCTTCCAGGTCTCCCATGCAGGTGCAGGGGCCCAAGGACTTGGGTCATCTTCCACTGCTTTCCCAGGCCATAGCAGAGAGCTGGATCGGAAGTGAAACAGCTGGGACTTGAACTGGCACCCATGTGGGATTCTGGCATTGTAGGCGGCAGCTTTACCCGCTATGCCACAGCACTGGCCCCTGAGTTTCGTCTTAATGAAGCCTGGCAGAGCCTAGTTGGTAAGGATGGGATCACTACTCCTGATGACTATTGTCTTGATCACTTGATGAAGCCAACTGGCTATCAACTCCTTCCCAAACCAATTACCTCTGTTAATAACACTCGTCTGTCCCTTCATAGGCTCTTTCCCATTAGAGACCACCCAAAGAGAGTACAGGTTCCTTATTAATTTTTTAAGGTATTGATAAAGTTTGTGACAGACTTACCATGTATCAATGTTTATGTAGCACATCACTTTGGCAACTTACACCTTGGGGCACTTCTCGTTATGATCCAACTGCCCTGGGATAAATGGTCCCCCAGTACATGTGTAGGCCTTGGATTATGCATTGCATTTTCCATGTCTGCTGCATCCCTGAGGCAGCTTTTTCTGGTTCACATCTCAGGACTCATTCAGTGGTAAATCTAGTTATTGCAATGGAGAAATAGCACACACTCTTGATAGGATATTTGAAAGGTTGGGCCATAATAAAACAGCTTCCTCATCTAACCTAATTAATCTAAGTCTCGCAAACAAATAGGTTAAAGCTGGAGAAAGTTAACTTGAGTATGTACCCTATCCCCTCCTCACATCCTTTTGTTTGAATGACCCCGACTGTGGTCCAGAACTGTCACTTCCTTTAAGAAGCCCTCCCTGACCCTTGTGGTATCCAACAAATGCTCTTAATGCTGTCCCAGTTCTGTGTTTATACTTCAGTCACGCCACAGTGATGTAATTATTTGTCTGACAGCTTCAAGGTCAGGGAGTGTGTCTCACCCTGATTCCCTGCAGAGAGCATACCCATGATAGGTGCTCAGTACATGCTGAGTTGGTGAGTCTGGCATTGGCTTGCTATCCCAGCTACACAATCCTGTCTGCTTTCCCTTAATCCTTGCTTCCTGCTGCTCTGTATGAGAGTGAAGCAGCTGATGAAAGCATTCTCTTTCTCCGAGAAGAAACTCCAGTCAGCAGCACGGAGGCACAGGCTCCATACAGTTTCCACATTAGGCCAGCCTGGCCTAAGCTGCTTCAAACATGTTGCTTCCTTCTCTGTTCCTAGATGCAAGAAAAGTCAAGTTCTAACTGCATATGCAGTATAACTGATGAGCAGTTCTGGGCTTACTAGACAGTCATGGCTTTGGGAGCAAGAAGCAAATGGAGGCCTTGGGAAAAGAGGGGAGCTTTCCACCTATGGCTCTTCCACAATAGAGTCTACATCCAAAAAAGCCTCGTGAGTTAGTCACAAGAGCTTTCTGTAGAAATGGAATTCTCAAAATAATAATAATAATAATGGTAGTAAATTATATTTTCCTTTTGATTTCTGTCATAGTATCATCTATACAATATGGCTACCTTTGCCCAGCTATGGCTGAATGCCCAGCAAAATCACCAAAGTGTTTGGGTTCTCTTTTCTGTAAGGTAGACTTTGCTTGGGTGTGGTTACTGTTAGCAGTGATGTCAAGAATTGAGAAATCAGCATTGAGGGTGGCACCTGTGAGGATCCATGCACCTTCAGGTGAGAAGTTGCCCAAAACTTGAGGAAGCTCGACTCTGGGGACTCCAGGACTTCAGAGTTTCCTGATCACTGGCTCTGTTCTTTTTCAGACATTGTGCATACTAGCCAACATAGCAGATGGGACAACAGCAAAAGAGCTTATTATGACCAATGATGACATCCTGCAGAAGATCAAGTACTACATGGTAAGCCTTTGTCCCCTGCACTGCAGCATTCAAAGTCAGAGATCATGGCATCGTTAGCTCAAGACAGATTGTGCAGAGGTTTTCGGAAGGAGGATGGACTGCTCTGTGGCAGATGCAAGGAACTCTCTTCCATCCTGAAGAAAAGGACAAACTGACTCCTTGAAGCCTGTGCCATTTGGTAATAGCCAGCTCCCCAGCCTGGTGATGATTGCCTCCCTCTCAAGGCTTCAGTCCCGGGTGGACGGACTCTCTAGCCCTCTGGCATCTTAGTCTCTGGACGGCTTCATTTCCACATGCTGCCACCTGCTGCCACGGCCATTCCCTGCATCTTGTCACCACCACACTGTGTCTGGGCATCAGACATTCTTTTTCTTCTGTCAGCATTTCCTAGTAATCCTAACAAAATTCTGCTTGTGGAAGAACCTTCCCTTCCTCCCCATCTCCCACTTAACCTGTCTTCTCCTTGCCTGCCATGTCCGAGTTAACTATAGAGAAAGGCACAAAACCGAGCTGGGTGGTCATGGTTTACAAAACCCAAATGGACATTCAGTCTGGCCCAGTGAGGTTTGACTCTGAAAAGCAGTTGAGAAATAGGTGTATCTTGATGGTTATGGGAAGTTAGGTTTCAAAGATTATTGCCTTGTCTCCTCCCTCCCAAGATTTTTATTTAATAGGTATGAGGTATAAAGTACTTGGGTGGTTCTTTATGTGAACTTGAGAACCACTGGCTTAGGGGAGTCTCATTATCCCGTGGCTTCTACTGTCACCTCTATACTGATGATTCCAAGTGTATACTTCCAGCCTAGACTTCTCTTCTGAGTGCTGGACCCATTTATTCTCCTCCATGTGGCTGCCTAATAGCCTCTCAAGCCTGATGTTTAAAAATGAATTCTTGGGGGGCCGGCGTTGTGGCTCACTTGGCTAATCCTCCACCTGCGGCGCCGGCATCCTGTATGGGCGCCGGGTTCTAGTCTCGGCTGCTCCGCTTCCAGTCCAGCTCTCTGCTGTGGCCCGGGAGGGCAGTGGAGGGTGGCCCAAGTGCTTGGGCGCCTGCACACTCGTGGGAGACCAGGAGGAAGCACCCGGCTCCTGGCTTTGGATCGGCGCAGAGTCAGCCGTAGCGGCCATTTGGGGGGTGAACCAACGGAAGGAAGACCTTTCTCTCTGTCTCTCTCTCTCTCACTGTCTAACTCTGCCTGTCAAATTAAAAAAAAAAAAAAAAAGAATTCTTGGGGCAGGCATTGCAATGCAGTAGGTTAAACTGCTGTTTGGGATGCCTGCATCCCATATTTATTTGAAAGGCAGAGAGGTAGAGAGAGAGAGAGAATGAATGAATGAGAATGGTCTTCCGTCTACTGGTTCACTCCCCAAATGGCTGCAACAGCCAGGGTTGGGCCAGGCAGAAGTCCAGAGCCTGGACCTTCATCTGGGTCTACCACGTGGGTGCAGGAACCCAAGCAATTAGGCCATATTCGGCTGTTTTTCCAGGTACATTAGCAGGAAGCTGGATCAGAAGTGGAGCAACCAGGGGCCAGTGCTGTGGCATAGCAGGTGAAGTTACTGCCTGCAGTGTCAGCAGCCTATATGGATGCCAGTTCATGTTCCAGCTGCTCCACTTCTGATCCAGCTCCCTGCTAGTGTGTCTGGGAAAGCAGCATAACATAACCGAAGTGTGTGGGCCCCTGCACCCATGTGGGAAATCCGGAAGAAGCTCCTGGCTCCTGACTTCAGATTGGCCCAGCTCTGACTGTTGCAGCCATTTGGGGAGTGAACCAGTAGATGGAAGATCTTTCTCTCTCTCTGTCTCTCTGTCTCTCTCTCTCTCTCTCTCTCTGCTGTTGCCACTTTCTAACTCTGCCTTTCAAATAAGTAAATAAATCTTTAAAAAAAAAAATAAAAGTGGAGCAGCCGGGACACAACCAGTGCCCATATGAGATGCCGGCTTTGCAGGTGGCAGCTTTACCTGCTACACCATAATGCCTGGCCTTTGCCTTTCTAATGGCTCTGCCATCTACTCTTTCTTTCTTTCTTTTTTTTAAAGATTTATTTATTTATTTGAAAGTTAGAGTTACACAGAGAGAAAAAGGAGAGGCAGAGAGAGAGAGAGAGGTTTTCCACCTGCTGGTTCACTCCGCAGCTGGCCATAGCAGCCAGTGCTGCACCGATCCTAAGCCCAGAGCTGGTAGCTTCTTCCAGGTCTTCCATGAGAGTGCAGGGGCCCGTGGACTTGGGCCATCTTCCGCTGCTTTCCCAAGCCATAGCAGAGAGCTGGATCAGAAGAGGAGCAGCCGGGACTCAAAACAAAGCCCATATGGGATGCCGGCACTGCAGCAGCGGCTTTACTCACTACGCCACAGCACCAGCCCCTACTCTGGTTCTCAAACCTAAGAATCTACCTTGATCCTCTGGCTCTGTTCCTTTATTCATCCAGTTTATCAGCAAGTCCCATCAGCCCTTTCTCCAGAACTGATCTTGAATCTGTTTACTTCTTTCCATCACCAGTGTCTCCACCATAGCCTAAGCCACAGCACTGCATGTCTGATTGATTGTAGTAATAGAATAGCCTCCTAGACACTTCTGCACTGTCACTCCAGTCCCTTCAGCCCAAGTGGTCCTCTGAAAATGCAAGTCAGGCCTTGTCCCTCTGCTGCTTAAATTGTTTAGGGCCTTCCTTTCAACTCAGTTACATCGAGACCCCTTACTCTGCCCTACAAGGACCCAAGACTTGGCCAAGCCCACTTCTCTGAAAGCAAAACTCTCTCATCTCAGACCTTTCCAGGAAGTTTTCCTTTTTCGTTGAACCCCCGACCCGTGGCTGTTTGCACACGTACCACCTTCTGTTCCTTACGTCTCTGTTTAAACGTTGCTTCCGTCAAACAGATATTTTCGTTGCATTCCAGCTGAGCTAAACACCAAACTCTCCACCATCCAGTTTTCTCTCTCAGCAATTTGTTTCCCTGAAAATATATTTAATGGGGGCCAGTGTTGTGGTACTGCAGGCTAAGCCACTATTTTTGACAACAGCATTCCATATTGGAGTGCTGATGCAAGTCCTGGCAGCTCACTTCTGATCCAGCGTCCTGCTAATGCACCAGGAAAATGGAAGATGGCCCAAGTGCTTGGGGCCCTGCCGTCCACATGGGAAACCAGGACAGTTTCGTGCTCCTGACTTCAGCCTGACCCAGCTGTGGCCATTGCCGCTATTTGGGGAGTGAACCAGCAGATAGAAGATCTTTCCATCTCCCCTCCCTCCCTCTCTCCTCCTCCCCCTCTCCCTCCCCTTTCCTCTTCCTCTCCCTACCTCACCTCCTCCTCTGCCGCTCTGCTTTTCAAAAATATCTTTCTGAATGTGCAATGAATGTGCAATATACATAGCAAATGCTTATTTGTCTTAGTTTATACAAATATTTGTACATACTATTATACAAATATACAGATATTTGTTTTAGAATACACTAATATTCCTTGATGATCTGATAACAGGAGCAGATAAGCTGTATTCTGTTTAGTCTTAGTGGAGCCCAAACTGGACATTTCTTTAAAAGTGTTGTCAGGTAGAAGAAGGAAGAATCACTAACCATAGAATTCTTTTTTTTTTTTTTTTTTGACAGGCAGAGTGGATAGTGAGAGAGAGAGACAGAGAGAGAAAGGTCTTCCTTTTGCCGTGGGTTCACCCTCCAATGGCCGCCACGGCTGGCACGCTGCGGCCGGTGCATGGCGCTGATCTGAAGGCAGGAGACAGGTGCTTCTCCCGGTCTCCCATGGGGTGCAGGGCCCAAGAATTCTTTTTTTTTTTTTTTTTTTTTTTTTTGGACAGGCAGAGTGGACAGTGAGAGAAAGAGACAGAGAGAAAGGTCTTCCTTTGCCGTTGGTTCACCCTCCAATGGCCACTACGGCTGGTGCACCGTGCTGATCCGAAGGCAGGAGCCAGGAGCCAGGTGCTTTTCCTGGTCTCCCATGGGGTGCAGGGCCCAAGCACTTGGGCCATCCTCCAGTGCACTCCCTGGCCACAGCAGAGAGCTGGCCTGGAAGAGGGGCAACCGGGACACAATCTGGTGCCCGACCGGGACTAGAACCCGGTGTGCCAGCGCAGCAAGGCGGAAGATTAGCCTAGTGAGCTGCGGCGCCAGCCACCATAGAATTCTAATGGAAGAAGCAATGCCCACCTCTGTCTCTGCTTGATTTAGGTATTTTCCTGCATGAAAAGACAAGACTGTTTCAGCCTTCAGATTTATTCTTTAAAGATTTTATTTATTTAGTTGAGAGATACAGTTACAGATAGTGAGAGGGAGAGACAGAAAGATCTTCCATCCTCTGGTTCACTCTCCAAATGCTGCAATCCCTAGAGCTGAGCTGATCTGAAACCAGGAGCCAGGAGCTTCTTTCAGGTCTCCCACACAAGTGCAAGGGTCCAAGCACTTGGACCATCTTCTACTGCTTTCCCAGGCCATAGCAGAGAACTGGATTGGAAGTGGAGCAGCTGGGACTTGAACTGGTGCCCATATGGGATGCCAACCCCACAGGCAGAGGATTAATCTGCTCCACAGTGCTGGCCCCTCAGCCTTCAAATTTAAGTTTGTGGGAAACCATTAAGCATGTAATGCCATTGTGAGTAAATCATTTGAATGTACTGGGAAATACTTTTTTAATTGGCTAATACAAAAATCATCTATAAAGATTGTTTTACTATTGGGTCCTCTTGTGTTTAGGAGAAAGCACTCTGTGTATCAGCGATCCAGTGTAAGTAGAAATGGTTGAACTTTGGGGGCCAGCACTGTGGTGCAGCGGGTTAAAGCCACAGCCTGCAGTGCCAGCATCCCATATGGACACCAGTTCACCTCCTGGCTGTTTCACTTCCCTTTTTTTTTTTTTTTTTTTAAGATTTATTTATTTGAAAGTCAGAGTTACACAGAGAGAAGGAGAGGCAGAGAGAGATAAGAGGCCTTCCATCCACTGGTTCACTCCCCAATTGGCCACAACACTCTGGAGCTGCGCTGATCCAAAGCAAGGAGCCAGGAGCTTCTTCCAGATCTCCCATGTGGGGGCAGGGGTCCACGGACTTGGGCTGTCTTCTTCTGCTTCCCCAGGCCATAGCAGAGAGCAGGACTGGAAGTGGAGCAGCCAGGACTTGAACTGGCACCTATATGGGATGCCAGCACTGCAGACAGTGGCTTTACCCACTGTACCACAGCGCTGGCCCTGCTCCATTTCCAATCCAGCTCTCTGCTATGGCTCTACCTCTCTCTCTAACTCTGTCTCTCACTCTGTGGCTCTACCTCTCTCTGTAACTCTTTCAAATAAATAAAATAAATCTTAAAAAAAAAGAAATGGTTGTATTTGAGTACATAAAGTAAGTTCAACAAGAATTATTTTTAAAAGGAGGTTTCTGGAGGCTGGTGTTATAGTGTAGCTAGTAAAGCTGCCACCTGCAGTTCTGGCATCCCATATGGGCACTGGTTCATGTTCTGGCTATTCCACTTCTTTTGTATATTTTTAAAGATTTTAGTTATTTATTTATTTTGAGGGGTAGAGTTACAGCTGGATAGGAAGAGGAGCAGTCGAGACTAGAATCAGCACCCATATAGGATGCCAGTGTTGCAGGCAAAGGCTTAGCTCAGTACACCACAGCGCTTGCCCCGGCTGCTCCACTTCTAATACAGCTTCCTGCTAATGGCCTGGGAAAGCAGCAGAAGATGGTCCCCAAGTGTTCAGGGATTTGTCACCCATGTGGAAGACCCAGATAAAGCTCATGGCTCCTGAATTTGACCTAGCCCAGCACTCATTGTAGTGGCTCTCTGGAGAATGAACTAGGAAGATAGGAAGATCTCTCTCTCTCTCTCTCTCTCTCTCTCTCTCTCTCTCTCTCTTTCTCTGTAACTCTGACTTCCAAAATAAATTTTAAAATCTTAAATAAAAAGGTTCTTCAATCATATTAGAGACATTTCATAAGTAGAGATTTGATCACGGTTTTTTTGGATAAAGAAATAAGAGTAATTTGATTATGCTGAAAGCTGAATGTGGTGTCAGAGAAGTAAATCATTTAAAAATTGTTTGTGAACATCAAGTTGTATAATTCTTTGACCTTATCTTCACTTTCTTCCCTAAAGGATTTGTTGGACCATTTGAATAGGAAAATTAGTAACTGAAGTGAAAAATATCAAATGCACATCCACCCAAGCAATGTATTGGCCTCTAGAGACTAAAAGCATAGTCTAAGTCAGAAGCATAGAACTGTCATGTGTCAGTAGCTCTGTGAGTGTGGGCTGAATCATAAATTGCAGGCTGTGTCTAGGGTCCCAGAGGTATTTTATTTGGACAGCCAGATGGTTTTTAAATTTTGAATTTGAGTGTCTTTGGGCAAGGCTTGCGTGCCACAGTTTGCCAGCTTCCCCAACATTCCTTGTTGTCTTTAGCCCAAGCTTTCGCTCATTAGTGTTAACTTTGAGGCTTCTGTTTTAGACTTTCACGCTGTTACAGTTGCCTATGATGCATTACCAGACGGTGATCTAAACTAGCGTCGCCTCTCTTTTGATTTTTTTTTTCTGCATCACCAGGGTCATTCACATGTCAAACTGCAGCTTGCCGCCATGTTTTGTATATCAAACCTCATATGGAATGAAGAGGAAGGTGAGATTGGTGAGATTTGTTCTGAAGAAAATCACGGGAAGAGAGTCTCACACAGGGAAGGCAGCAAGTGCCCTGAGATCCCGGGCAGAGGTGCCCCACTCATTGGACTCCTGGCCCCAAGCACCCTTGGTGGGAGAATCAGTGGGACTGGCCTGAGCTGGCTGGACAGTCAACACTGACCTCCTACCAGGGACCCAGTACGTACCAGATTCCTTGGGGCTGAGCTGAGAAGGAAGTGACAGTGTCTGCCCTTAGGGGGATCTGATTAGGAGGATGGTGAGATGCACTTGCAGAAGGTGAGAGGAGAGAGCAGGTGGGAAGCTGGGCTGGTCATTCGGTGTGGAAGAAGCACTTGTAAAGACTCCAGACAGACACGCACCGTGGGCAAGAGGGTGCATTTGTGATGGATGAGGAGTGCATCAGTGGTAGGTCTGCAAGGAGACCTGTGTAGGTTCGAGGTTCTTCATCCTGGCTGCATGTTAGAGTCAACCTGGGGATTTCACACCCGATCAATTAAATCAGTAATCTTGGGGTGGGCTCCAGGTTTAAGCATTTCTCAAAGCTCCTCCGATGATTCCAAAGTACAGCCAAGTAACAGATGCAGGTAAGGACTGGGTGTCCGTGCTTTGTTGGCTGCATCAGCATGACTTGAGGAGCTTTTCTAAATGCAGATTGCTAGGCTCCTCCTTAGGGTCTGCTCACTGAGTTCAGAGGGGTCAGTGCACGAGCTAGGCTCTTCAGTGGAGGAAGAAAGACTTAGGGAGATGCTCTGTTTAGCACTGTGTCTAGAGCAAAATGAAAGGTAAACTGGATTCAACCCCACATGCCTCGATACCTGCTACCATCTGTGTGCTGGGGAGGCAAAGCCGCCCTTAAGGAGAGCTTGATCTAGTAGACAGGTAGAACAGAGCCGCATGAAATCGGAACTGCCAGTTGTGCTTACCACGGGTCAGTGACAAGTTTGGGAGGATAGTGGAAGCAGTGCAAGGCCTAGCTGGCCACAGCTGTGGGTATGTCCTGAAAGAGTGATGATTAGACCCCGTGGGCCAGGCTAAAGACTCTGACCTTGACCCTATAGTCCGTGGAAGCATTAATCCAGTATTAGAGCCCAGGAGGAACTGCGGCAACAAGGGCCAGGAGGCAGAGAGACCAGATAGAAGGGCAGTCAGCGAGGCTAAGCACGCGGGATCCAGCAGAGTGGGGAGTTCAGGCGGGACAGGTAGGGTGAGGGGTGAAGGACAGTGGCAGAGCTCGAGATTGGCGATTGAACGTCAGAGAGAGCAGCTGGGTGGGTCACGTTCCTAGTAACCTGCCAGCTTTCATCTTCTAGGGTCACAGGAACGCCAGGACAAACTACGAGACATGGGCATCGTAGATATTCTGCACAAACTGAGTCAGTCACCAGACTCAAACCTTTGTGACAAGTGAGTATCAACATGGAAGGGCCTTCTATTGGCTGGTGCTGGATTATTTTATTAAAGGGTTTGAAGTCTTAGTAATTCACATGGCCAAACTGTAAATCTTTTAGATTCTCAAATTTTCCTTTTTAATTTTTTGTGAGCCAACTGTTGACATTTGAGTGAAATGTAAGCTAATAATTGTGAAATTATTAGCGACTCATCTCACTCTGAATTAACATGGGTCTGGGCTACCTTAGTAGTTATCTGAATAGGACCCAGAGGCCACGCATTTACATTCCTTTGATCATTAAAATAGAGACACCTGTGGCCTTTTGGAAAGCAGAAAGATCAGTTGTGAAAAAACTCAATTAGCTCAAAAAAATCAGCTCAAAACTTCACTAAACACCTGCACTGTGCCAGGCTGGGGTACAGCAATAACCACTGAAGAGTCCCTTTCCTCAAAGAGCTCGCCATTTCCTGGGGAAGGCAAGAGTTATCATCAGAGATCCAGCTACCCTCAGAACAGCCCCAGGTGCTCTTCCTGGCTGTATTCCCTCCCTGCCAAGCTCACTGCTGAGTGTAATAACCAGTAGCAGGAAATGGCAGCTCTCTCCTTCTCCCTTTAGCCCTTCATCTGGCCTGTCCTTCTCATACCCCGCCCCCCAGCACACTTGCTATGCCCACCCTGCACTCCAGCCACACCTACTCAGAGTCTCACACCGTCGTGTATTTACAGACTGTTCGATCTGATTTGCCATCACAGTCCCCTTCTCCATGTATCCATTCATTCAGTGATAGTTTTTAAAGCACCCGCCCTCTACCAGATGCTGTTTTAGATATTGGAGATAAAATAATGAATAAAATCCTTGTCATCATAGCACGTAACATTCTAGTTCAAAAGACAGTCACCAAATGAGTAAGTAACACAATCAGGCACCATGAAGAAAAACAAAGTGAGGAATGGGCAGTAAAGAAAGTTGTTTAAAAAAAAAATGATTGATTGGTTTGTCTGTAAAAGTGATGGATGGTTCCCTCCCCATGTAGGCGCAAAGGTCAGAACTGGGCCTGGCCAAAACGAGGAGCCAGGAATTCCATCTGGGTCTCCCACGTGGGTACAGGGACCCACGGATTTGGGTCATCTTCCACTGCTTTCCCAGGCACATTAGAGGGAGCTGGATCAGAAATGGAGTAGCCAAGACTTGAACCAGTGCCCATATGTGGTGTTGGCATTGCAGGCAGTGGCTTTACCTGCTGCACCACAGCGCCCATCCTAAGAAGGCTTCTTTTCATACAGGTTGGTTAGTAAAGGCCTCTGTGAGGATATGACATTTGATCAAGGCTGAAACTAGAGTCTGCTAGGGAGCTAGAGGAAGAGTATTCCAGGCATAGGGAACAGTCAGTCCAAAGGCTGAGGCAGGAATGGACTTGGCATGTTCAAGGAACAGCAAGAAGCCCTGTGGGGCTGGAGAGGAATAACAGGGAGAATGCAGGGAGAAGCTTTCATCTTCTCGGGTCACAGGAACGCCAGGACAAACTACGAGACATGGGCTTCGTAGATACTCTGCACTTCGGCTTTTATTCACAGCTTCATGGGAAGTTCTGAGCAGAGGTGACATCATCCTCTTTGAGCTCTTAGAAGATTACCGTGGTGGCTATATAAAGAGTCACCTGCAGTAGGACAGGAATGGAGGCAGGAAACCAGTTAAAGCCTACTGTGAATGTGGAGGTAAGAGATGAGGGTGTTAAGTGGTGGAAGTGTATTGAGAAATGTATTGAGTGTATTGAGAAAGCCCAAAGCGTTTTGAATATCACATTGGCACTCAGAAACCTTGGGGATTTGGGATTTACAGATTAGGATGTTCAACTCCTATTTGTTCGGAATTGAAAACAGGTCTTTCTACTTAAAGCTGTCTTTGGGAAGATCTAAAATGCTAAGAGGAGGCTCCTCAACATGAAGTAGGATGAGTTTGGGCTCTCACCTGCATAATCTGATGGTATTTCCCCCGATTTCTATGGCACAAAAGTTCTTAAATTAAAATCCCCATTGAAAGAAGGTCTGAGCTATTTACTCTAAGTCCATCTAAAAAAAGGTGATCTTGCCTCTAAAACCACCCATCTGAAAGACTCCTTAGATAATAAAGGCCATAGAAAGATAATCAGGATAGAGTCTTTGAGCCCCAAAATAATCAAACATAGACACTTCTGAGTCAGATCCGAAGGAATTGGTAGCTTAAAGGGTATTGCAGGATTTTGATCAAGACATCCATGTGAACATCCCCATCGTGGCTCAGTAACATCTGTCAACTGCAGAAGACATGCCACAGGTTCCTTCTGAGGTTTTGTGTCTGTTTGACTTTCTAGCACTTAGAGATGACGGACGATCTATCCCCATGCAACCATCTCTGCCCCAGGCTCAGAGGGCCTCGGGTGTGCAGTCAGGGAACACCCCACATCCACCAGAACTGCTCTTCTTGGCTTCTTAGTGGATTTATAGGGGCGGATGGATAACCATTAAGAGCTAGCTTGTGGTATCATTCATTAACTTCTCCTGAAAATGTCAAGACCCCAACTCACATATAACTTGGGGACAGAACAGTTCAGAACTTTCTGTTCTGACAGATTATACTATTCACAACTCTCATCTTTATACAGTCTTCTATAACTGCAAAAAAAACTTCTTAGTATATTTCTTCAAAAGCTTTATTACGGAAACTCTACTTGAACCTAGCTTATCAAATGCCCAGTCTGCTTGCTGTAACTTCTATCAACTAGTAGCAGCTGAAAATTCTAGCCTTTTCACAACTTGGAAGGAGAGCCCATTGCTGAAACCTGCCTTCCTAACACCTGCAGTTGTGACCTCTTTAGAAATTCATGATGGGAGTAGTCAAAAAGGCCTTCACTGGGGCTGGCACTGTGGTGTAGTGGGTAAAGGTGCCCCTGCGACACCATATGGTTGACAGTATGTGTCCCAGCCACTCCACTTCTGATCCAGTTCTCTGCTAATGGTCTGGGGAAGCAATGGAAGATGGCCCAAGTGTTTGGGCCCCTGCCACTCATGTGGGAAACATGGATGAAGCTCCTATCTCCTTGCTTCAGCCTGGCCCAGCTGATGGAAGCAGTAAATAGAATATCTCTGTCTCTCCCTCTCTCTAACAGGCAGAGTTAGTGAGAGAGAAAGACAGAGTGAAAGGTCTTCCTTCCATTGGTTCACCCCACAAATGGTCGCTACGGCCAGCGCGCTGCGCTGATCCGAAGCCAGGAGCCAGGTGCTTCTCCTAGTCTCCCATGCGGGTGCAGGACCCAAGCACTTGGGCCATCCTCCAGTGCCTTCCTGGGCCACAGCAGAGAGCTGGAGTGGAAGAGGAGCAACCGGGAGTAGAACCCGGTGCCCATATGGGATGCCAGCACCGCAGGCGGAGGATTAACCAAGTGAGCCATGGCGCCGGCCCGTAACTCTGCCTTTCAAAATGAATAAGTAAATCTTTTTTTTTTTTTTTTTTTAATTTGACAGATAGAGTTAGTGAGAGAGAGAGACAGAGAGAAAGGTCTTCCTTTCATTGGTTCACCCCTCAAATGGCCGCTACGGCCGGAGCTACGCCGATCCGAAGCCAGGAAACAGGTGCTTCCCCTGGTCTCCCATGCAGGTACAGGGCCCAAGCACTTGGGCCATCCTCCACTGCCCTCCTGGGCCACAGCAGAGAGCTGGACTGGAAGAGGAGCAACCGGGACTTGAACCTGGCGCCCATATGGGATGCTGGCACCACAGGCGGAGGATTAACCCAAGTGAGCCACGGCTCCGGCCCCATAAGTAAATCTTGAAAACAAAAGGCCTTCTCAGGCCTTACTCAAAGGATCTCGCTTTGGGGCAGGCATTTGGCCTGGTGGTTTAGATGCCTTGGTGTGATGCCCAGCTCCTGATTCCAGCTTCCTGTCAGTCAGACCCTGGGAGACAGCAGTGATGGCTCAGGTGAGTGGATTCCTGCCGTCCACATGAGAGTCTGGGATTGAGTTCCTGGGTTCCAGCTTCAGTTTCTCCAGCCTTTGCTGGCATTTGGAGAATGAAACAATGGATGAGAGCAATCTCTCTCTCTCTCTGCTTCCCAAAATTAATTAATTTTATTTTTAAAAAGGAAGTCACTTTTACAAAGATAAGGAGAGGTCTAATCACTGTCCTCGTTTATCTGCCTTCTTCTCCAGTCACCTTGAAAACCTGCATGCCACATCAGTCATTGCTGGCATCATCACATATGATCCGAGTTGACACAGTAGCCTCCTTCCTCAGCTCTGCGGCATGTGGCCCACGTGGCAGCCTTATGCCATGGGCTCATGGCCCTTCCATCCACCTTCTTGTCGGTACCTCATCACCTTTCCTTAGGTCAGTGTTCCTCATAGCTTCCCAGAGCCCAAGTCATCCTCTTAGTACTGTGTCTCCATGTGTAAATTCAGCCTCCAAGGTAGTGAAGAAAATTCCAGATTCTTCACAACCACGTACCAGTGACAGAGGAAAATTAGAGAGTGTCACAGCTCCGAAGGAATGTGTAATGTCCCTGAGCTACAGCAGATTGAGGAGCAAAAGCAGCCCTCTAGGGGCTGGCACTGTGGTGCAGTGAGTTAAGCTGCTGCCTGCTACATATCAGAACACTGGTTTGAGTCCCAGTTACTCCACTTCCAACCCAGCTCCCTGCTAATGTGCCTGGGAAGGCAGTGGAGGATGGTCCACGTGCTTAGGCCCCTGCCACCCATGTGGGAGACCCAGATGGAGCTGTGGGCTCCTGGCTTCACCCTGGATTAACCCTTGCTGTTGTGGCCATTTGGGGAGTGAACCAGTACATAGAAGATCTATTGATCTTTCCCTCCCTCCCTCCCTCTCTTCTTCCCTGTCTCCTTCTCTCTGCATTTCAAATAAAATGAGTAAGTCTTAAAAGAAATTAAAAAATAACAAAAGAAAATAGCCCTCTAAGAGAACCACAAGAACATAGCCAGAGTACGCTGAAGTATGTGTTGGCCACAGATCTCTATTGGGACCCAGCTGGAATCACCCCAGTTCCTCTGAGAATCTACCTTACAGACCTCCTCAGGTACCGCGTTGGTCCACCCATCTTGGTGGCCTAATGACAGCTCTGAAATGATGGCTAATGGGAACTTTGTGATTTCAGGGCAAAGACGGCACTGCAGCAGTACCTGGCATGATGGGAGCGTCCCTGGGCACCTGCGAGCATCCCACACCCTTGTTTAAGGAAGTACAGGAACTAGCCTCAGTTGATTCCTTCTATTTGCACAAGTCACCTTGGACTGCAGGGAGCTGTTTTGCAAAAGCAATTTCATAGGCTTAGATCTCAAATTCATCTTGAGAACATTTTTTGAGGTAGTAATTTCCTCAGAGGACTGTTGTGTTTTGTTTTGTTTTGTTTTCTGAGCTACCTGGACTCTTTATTAGAACAATCAATCATTTTCCTTTGGACCTACAATTTTTTGCCTATGCTGCAGCCACTTTGTGAGTGAGAATGATTGTGTCTGTGTGGACACACAGGGAGTATGTGTGTGAGTATGTGTGTGTATCAGAATGAGTGGATGTGTGTGAGGGATACCTCAGATTTTTCTTTTCTTATTTTGTGTGAAAATCTCTTTTCTACAGATTTTCCAGGGTTTAAGCATTGCTTGCTGTATAAAGAAAAACTTTACTGAATTATATACAGTTTGAATGAAATGTTATTTTAAAAACAAAACAATTGTTTAGTGTTCCATAAAGGTTATGTTGAATTTTGGTCAGATGAATATTTGTAAGTAAAAAATATATGCATTTCTGAACCTCAACTTACATAGATTTTCTTTATAAAAAAAAAAGAAAAAAAAAAAGAAAAAGTTGGCTATAGTTGGCCTGGATAACAGGCTTTATACATGGTGCTGTGCAACATAGTAAGCTAGCATCTTACTGCCGTCAACATTAGCAGGTACAGAGCCTTTTTTTTTTTTTCAGCCTAATTCAATAAGTTCTCAGGCTTCCGAGTCAGAAGGACAGAGTGGAGTGAAGTGAGGTGACAGATTCTTCACCATAGATTTTTTGAGACATCAAAGGGAACTAGCACTACTGTTAGTAGAATTCAGCCATGGCCCAGTGGTTACGCCTGACAGGACGTGGGCATGAGAGCCTCCTACCTGCCCTGACTCCCATCTCTGGTGTCGAAGTCTCTGGCCGTGCTTAGAACCTACAGTGCTGGAGCCTTAGCGCTCAAACTAAAAGTAGGGCATCGCTCCTGGAAACAAAGTGAGATCACTTCGTGCTTCCTGAAACAGCATTATCACTGTGAAACTAGAGAATGTTCTACAGACATACCTGTGCAAAGAAGAACAGCATAGTTTAGAAAGCTGTTTTCTCTTAGCTGTTCTCAGCCAATTCTCTTAGTCACTCGGGACTGCTGGTTGGTGTGCTTTTGTAAAATGAGATGGAGATTTCAGTAAAAATGTGGCTAAGATGCTTTCCTGCATGAAGCTGAACACTCCCATGGAGAGACAGGAAGGGGATCTCCCAGGATGACTGCAGATGACTTCTTCTTACAGTGAGTACTGCGTAGCCCTTCTGCGGCCCTTAGCTTGGCACCTGCTCCGACTTCTGGGTCAGCTTCAAGGCGAACTCACCAAAGGTTCTTGACTGTGTGAAGGTAGAACTGGCCTTCCTCTTCCCTTTGCTAAAAGAAGGCCGAAGGCGTCATGGCCAGGAAGTGAGGGCTGCGGTCTAGAAGTTTGCGGTGAGTGTGTGTCATTGACAGGGCCCCGGGCCCACCCACCAGCCACTCCTGATGGGGCTGCTTGTGTCACAGCTGTCCTGTCACCAACCTGCATATTCCTCAGAAGATTTAAATATGTTTGATTGTGAATGAATGTTTTTAAAATGTATTTAAATGCAATTTTTCCTGTTTCCAAAATGATCACTCAAGATTCAAACACAGAGTTTTCCAGGTTATTTTTTCAGAACATCACTGATTTTAAAATCTGTCACAGCAGGGACTTGGGTTTTGTGCAGATGTGAGAGTGCTAATGTGAGAAGACCAGTTTAAAAAGAAAAACACCCTAGTTTATTTGGAATAAAGTGTTATTTAGTGAGGCCCACTCATTGTTGTTTCTAATCCTGAGAAACTCCTCATTCGGCATTTGTAACTCAAAACACTATAGATAGAGTTGGCATTTAGAAGTCCTGGTAAATATAAAGAAACCAATAATGAATTGCTGAGACAATCGAACTCAAATAGCATTAGAAAGCTGAAGGCCCAATGAAATCACAGTTTCACACTTCAACTCTGTGGATAAATCTTGCCTGTGGGTAGAAACAGCAGTCAAATAAAAAGTGCTTTACTATAATTAATTTGAAGAGAAATGTATTTATTAAAACAAAGCTGTTTGCTGCTTTACACAGGTGCAGTGTTCAGTCAGCAAGGAAGTGGGAAGAATGGGACATAGTCTTGTGTCTACACCCAAGTTCTTAACTAAGCTTCTCGCTGTCTCTAATACTGCATTCTGTTTCTCCTTTTGTGCCCTGATTGTAACCCAAAATTTATGAACTAGAAAAGAATGTCCAATTTAATAAGTTGCATTTTTTTTCCTAAGCACTTTATTCAGAACAATACATGTTCTTCTGGTAGTGTTTGGATAATATGATTTTAACCCATGCTAATAAAAGCCAAGAGAAATCGTGGCAACTTCTAAACAAGGAGTCTGTTTTCCAAATGTCTAGAACACTAGGAAACATGAGAAGGTAACGTGAACGTGTACTGGCTTTTGGAACCTGTGACTCTTGGTGGATGAAGGGCAGGGAGTGGTTGTGTGTTTCCCAGTAGGGGCGGCCTCAGGTAACGGGGGGACCCCTCTCTTCCCAGCCCTCCGGAAGCCAGCAGGTCCTCTCCAGGTGGCCACTCCCAGCCACCCAGACAGCCCTCCCCAAGGTCATGTCCACTTGCATGCTCTCTTGTCCCCTCAGGAGTGCCACTCCTCTGCTGCCACTGCCTGCTGGACTCAGACCCAGGGCTTGGCACGTGACCAGCCACACGGTGCACAAACAAGTGTGTCCCCTGGCAAGGACACACACAGGTGCCCTCGGCTCACTCCCCACGCACTCCTTCTCTTCCCTGTCTGTGCAGGAAAGGCAGCACCTCCCATCTCGAGGCCTCGCTGGACACAGGAACCAGGGCCTGGGGGAGGACAGTGAGGGGACTGCAGAGAGGGCAGCCAAGGCGAAACTGAGCCCGGGCGGGAGACCAGCAAGACCTGAGAAGGGGGAGAGGGGAGGGGCACTCCTACCCCAGCTGCTGATGGCCACCTGCAGCAAGGGGCCCTAACGCCTTCCGGGCATGGGGCCGGTGCTGCTGCACCGTGCTGAGCTTCCCAGACCGCTTCCCAGACCGCTCGGCAGAGAGGCAGCTGGAGGCACGTTTCCGTCTGGCTTCAGGGAAAGCTGTGGAGTAGACTGTTGAGCCACCTTCCCCTCTCTGTCGCTGCAGCTCCTCCTGGCTCCTGGCTCTGCCGGGCGTCAGCCATCTCACTGAGTGGAGGGCCGGAGCCAGTCCTTAACCGTGGGGCCGCCCTCCTCCCTGCCAGGCATGCACGTCCAGGAGCCAAAACAGTACCTGCCCTGCCGCATTTGCTTCTCTAGGGAACACCCAAGGCAGGGCCTCCACCAAGCTGCTCTGGCCTGAGAGAGTGGGCTGATCTCGGGAGCCCTTCCTGTTGCCCCCATTCCCTATGCCTTGAGCCTTCTGGGCTCCAGAGATGCCCACCATGCTGAACCCCCAGCAACCTGGAGGCACAGTAGTGGGGAGGAAGGCAGGAGTCACCATCCCTCCCACTCGGACTTATCGCTGGGGACCCTCCAGCTCCCCCTGCCCAGCCTGACTGTCCTAGCCACTTCCTGGGGAAACTTCAGGATCCACCACCACCACCACCACCACCACCACACACAGGCTCCATTCCCACACCTACTCTTCCCTTCTTCCCCCCTGCTTTCCGGAGCCTTGGTTGCCCCCTCTTACCTTGCCAGTATGGGTACAGGGGAGGTCCTTGGCTTCCCGGCCTCTGCTAGCCGGGTGCATCCCTCTCTCCTTCCAAGTGGGTCACTGGGAGTCCCACTCAACACCTGTGGGGCCAGCCCAGGCACAGGGCTCTTGGGCACCTCCCAGTCATTTGCCAGCTCTGGTGGGGTTGCCCTCCTGGGCCCACTCAGAGGGAAAAGCAGAGTCCCCAGGGCGTGGAACAGTGAGAGGGAGCTTTCCTGCCGCTGCGGGCTCCGTTGGGCATGGGTTCACACAGGGGCCCGGTACAGATGCTGAGGAGTGCTGAACGTAGGCATGCTGGCACCCAGAGGTGGCATGAGGTCATGGGGGACGCAGTGGCGGGATGCAGCACGCCCGCGACCGCAGGCCTTGGTTCCCACCTTCCGGTAGCCCGCCTCAGCCTTTTATCCCCAGAGCCAGCTCGTGGCTCAGCAGAGAGCCCGCACAGAGCCATCTGCTGGGAGCTCACTGCCTGGCTGAAGAGCCTCCCCTGTGCTAGGTGCGCAAAACACCATGGCCTTTTCCTCCTCCGTCAGACCACCGAGTATGCCTGAGCTGGGGAACTTGACAAGTAAACCAGAGAGGAAACCAGGCAGCTCGCAGCAGCTCCTAACAGGTGCTTTTTCCTGAGATCCAACCCCCTCCCCCCCGCCCCCTGAGGGCCAGCTAAGCCAAGCAATTCAGTAACAGCTTTAGGCAGCCGGCCCCACCAGGAACTCTTAGGTTTTCAAAGTGGGTGCTTAGCTGGAACCGGAAACCCAAGACATGAGGAGAGAGGGTTCAGCAGAACCAGGTGAACCCTGCTTCCACACGTAACAAGCATTGCGTTGTGAGCTTGCCCTGATCTGAGGACAGCCACGAGGGGCAAATCTGGCAGCAGGAAGTGACTGTGTGACAGGGGCAGGCAGCGTGAGGAGGCGCTGGGTGCCAGTCCTCATCTGCCTCCTGGTCAGTACACCTGCAGTGGCACAGCCCACCTCACTGCACCGTGTGCACATTCAGTTCCCAGGGAAAGCTCCACAATGGTGCACCTGTAAAGCAGATGTATTGCTGGGGAACGGTGTCCCACATAACCAAGCGTTCTCTGAGATGACACCAAACCCTGAAGCAGAGGGCAATAGCTGATGGCACTATAGCTGATGGCACTTCACTTTGTAAAGTCCCAGAGACAGAAAAAAAAATCAATGCACATCCCATATGCTCTTTAATACCGCAGGAAAACACACACTGCTGGTTTTCATTGTCCACAGCGACAGCTGAGCCCAAAAAGTGCCAGTGCTCAGAATACGTGGCGCTTCTGGAGGGGCAGCTGCGCCCGCAGAGCAGGAACGCCGGCTCAGGCCACGTCCTCGCGGGAGGGAAGCACCTTGGGGGTGCCCACCTCGCCTTCGGCCTCGCCGCCTGTGGAACAGCAGGTTCTTCAGGACTTCTGATGCTGTCCCAGCCGCCGTCCCCAGAGAGACAGGAGGGCAGGGGAGCTCCACCCACCTCACTGCCCACGAAGGTGGGGGTCAGGTGGGAGGGACAGCAGACCGGGCTCAACTTGTGTGTTAGGGACTGGAAAGTAAAGAATTAGGAGAAGGGACATTTGCTGGCCACCTGAGGTGTGGCAGGCACCAGGCTGAGAGCTTTGCGTCCTGTCTGCCATTCGTCTTCACGCCAGCTCTGTGAGGAAGCTTTTCCTGGGGATGCTAGTTTGTCGTTCTCTCCATTTCACAGATGAGCAAACTGAGCCCAGAAAAAGCAGGTAAACAAGGGAGCCAGGAATCAAACCCAGGGTTGTGTTGCCAGAGCCACTGACCTCTGCCCCAGTGCCTTTTTCTTGGCAGGAAAAGTTCTGGGTACGTTGGAAGCACGAGCAGGTGTGACACAGGAAAAGAAAGGAGCAGACAGTAGCATTGCAGAGGGGCGGCTCCCCAGTGGGGCCTGTAGGAGGCTGTGTGCTTACTCCTGGGACCTGGGTGGTCTGGGCTCAGACCCTCAGGAACTGTCCCCTTTCTCATCATCTGAGGCCAGAAATCTGGCTCGGGATCTCCCATCACTCTCCCTACAGCCCCTGAGGGTTTCCCAGGGCTCCACCCTCCCCCTGCCCCAGACTTGGTCCTGAGTTAACACCCACTTGTTCCCAAGCACCCCTCAAGAGACTGCTGATCCTGGGCCCAGCGGGAGGGTGAAGATCTGCACCAGGCCCAGCGCCAGCCCCACTTCCCAGGACTCCCTGACTCCCTCCACTGGGCAGCGGAAGTAATTACACCTCCTGGAGCAGCGGCAGGGGTGAGACCAGGCCAGCACAGGTCGGCTCCCAGCACATCCAGCGTGTCAGCGGGTAACGGGTTAAACCCCACAGGTGGAGTCACACGCGGATGATCATCATTTAGATCTCCCAAGCATCCAGGCCTCCCACCCTTTGGGTTTTCCCAGGAGATTCATCCCTCAGCCCCTCTCACCCCATCATGGGCTCAGACCAGAGACTTGTAAGTCAGCCACAGGAAGAGCCCAGGGCAGGCCCGGTTCTTCCCCCAGCTGTGGAATGGGCCAAGTCACATGTACTCTGGGTCCCCTGGGTTCCTACCCAGACACAGGGGCTGAGGTCCCAGCGAGCTTTTGCAGAGGCTGCGGCTGCTCCCCAGGACAGGGAAGGTCCTCCACCATCACCCCCTCTCCCCATGCAAAGGTGGGCGCAGGGATACAAGGGCCAGAGAAGCCTCCCAGCAGAGGCCTGCACAGCCCTGCCAGCCCACGGGGGTCCAGCATGGGCCGGAGAGTTAAACCTTCTTGGTGGCTTCCACCGGGAAATGCAAAGCGGTACTTTTGCAATGAAAAGATGACTCCAAAACAGGCCGCAGCAAACATGTCAGGAGGTAGCAAGAAGCAACACTGTTGCTCCATCAAAGCACAAATGGTCCAGCAGAGATACTCAGGCTCCCATCCGCAGAACTGGCCAGGTAATTATTATCAGCAACCCCGCCCCGCTCCCAGCACAAGTAGCAGCCACACATTTCTTTTCAATAAAGGCCAACTCTGCCTGCAGGACTTACCCTGAGGGGTTTCCGTGTCTGTAAAGCGGAAGTTGGGAAAGAGCAAGGCCAGCTCTTTGTTGGCGTCTTCCCTGTCCCGGCTTCCGTGCACGGCGTTACAGGGCATCTCTGTGCCGTACTGGGCCCGGAGGCTGCAGGGATCGGCAAAACGGAAAGCAGCAGCCGTTTCATTTGTAAAGCAATGTTTTGCTTTCTGGCAACACGATCACCGGCTACCAATCAGCACTCTGCACGCCTGAGATGCCGCTTCCTCCCTCGTGGGCACCACCACCAACAGCAGCCGCGTTGTCACTCCCGGGAGCCGGTGTCTGCTCTGTCGTGGCGGTGCTCTGTGCGTGGGGCCGGCTGCTCTCCCCGCACAGCTCACTGCGTGTTTGCCACAGCCCTCTGAGGGACACGGCTGTTATCCCCATCTTAGAGCTGTGTGAGCAATGGAGCAAACGCAGGAGCTGCCATTTTGTCACTGCCGCAACCAAGGGCTAGCACCATGCCGAGTGATGATGATACGGCCATGCACAGTTCATCCTCGCAGTAACCCCATCAGGTAACACTAACGTGCCTGATACAGCCGCACGGGTAGGCACGTGTCAGGTGCGGTTCTAAGTACTCCACGAGCTGTGCACCAAGAGAACTTGAGGAACTTAGTGGGTGAGTTTATTTGGGTGTGAAGAATTGGAAATCTAGGCATGATTTTTGATTATACACATTTTCTGTGAACTGTTTGAAGTACCTATATATATGTATATGTATCAGTATACACACACACACACACACACACACATTTAGAGATGAGCAAACTGAGGCAGAGAAGGCACTTGCCAGAGTACGTGGTGACCTGAGATCTAAGCCCTGACTCATACATGAATACCCCGGTCCCACACGACCACCGGGTACAAGTGCTGCGCCTTGGCCCGTTGTCAGCTTCTTTCCTGTTGGTTGAGCTCTCTGCTTCAGTGGGTTTGGCACTGGCCATGCCAGACCCAATACTAACGGCCAAGGAGCAGCTCAACCAGCCTGGTGCAGAAGGGGGTGCTGGCAGTCTAGAGGGCCTCAGGGCCCCGGAGTGGGGAGGAGCGTGGAGGGGCGGAGCTGCCATGCAGACTCTGTCTTGCCAAGCTGGAATCTGCATTTTCCTGGGAGCACACTATGGGACTCGCTGAGAGAGAGAGAGAGAGAGAGAGAACAGTGACTGAGACAGAATCCAGCAGCCTCCCTCAGCACAGAGCAGAGGATTGGCAGAGACAGCTGAGGCCGAGCACCGGGTCAGGGGACCTGTGTCAGGGTCCCTCCAGATATAAGACAGAAGGGGCCATCTGGTGACCAGAGAGCCGTCTGTGTTCCCCTCCATTCTGAGTTGAGCACCACAGCTTCCTGGGATGTGGGGGATGGATGACAGGACCCCAGCTGGTGACGTCACCTTTCAGGCTGCTCCCTCCTGGCCACATGGGGGTCACAGGGCCCCATGAAGTCTCTCCAGGCCGTGACCACATCCTCAGCGCCCTCAGTCCTGGTGAGGATCAGGAGATGGCTCGGCCCACTGCACATGTGACGCACCAGCTTCTCAAATGCCTCCTAGGCACAGGGAGGGGACACAGTGACCCAGGGAAGGAGCCGTTGGGGCCTGCAGGGGGGGCGGTGGGCAGCCATGCCACCCACCAGCATGCCCATGGACACTCAGCCACAGCACTTCCCCTGCCTGGCCTCCCCAGCCAGCTGGGGAGGGTGCCAGGGAGGGGAGCCGATAATGACCAGCCACACCTGAAGAACCCCAAAAGGTAAGACTTCAAGTTGACTCAATATGGGGTTAAACACGAGAAAATGCTAAGAGGTGGAGGCATCTGAAAGACCATCCATGCGGGAGCAGGCATTTACCCTCGCCATGAAGACATCTGGGTTCCATACTGGAGAGCCTGGGTTCAAGTCCCAGCTGGTGCAGACTCCTGGGGAGTGAACCAGTGGATGGGACAGCTCTCTCTGCCTCTCCCTCCCTCTTTCTTCTCTCTCCCTTAAATACATAAAACTAATCCTTAAAGATCATATATATGGACATCGCTGGATGGTTTAACCAAAGGGTGGAGTACAGTTGAGACTTCAGTTGTTGGTTGTTTTTGGTGTTTTTTTCTTTGGTGACACCTTGCAACCCTTTCTCCTTCAGGTAGCAGTGCTCTGGTTTTCCTCTGGGTCACAGCCCTTCCCCATTTCATTTGGTTCTATATTGACTGACGACCACGCTGCCTATCCCTTCCAATACACAGGTCCCTAACCTAAGAGGCGAGGCTATGACCCCAGCCAGGGCAGCAGACTGCCACACAGAGGGACGAATAGCAGAGGATTCTGCGATGTCCAACGGCTGTGTCTACAGCGAGATGCGAGCAGCTTGGCTTCCGAGATCCCAGGACTGGCCGAGTTCCTCTCCTCCTTGTGAACTCGTCCTCCAATGCTGCTCCCTCCTTTCCGTGAGCTGTAGAGCACACTCACAAATTCCGTATTCACTCCTTAGGGTCCAGATTCTTGCCTTGCAACCACCGAGCCCCGCCTGATGCACCTGTCCTCCAGGCGGAGAGCAGAGACCTGACCCACCATGCTCTGCTGGCTCCTAACCTACCAGCCATCTGGGAACACGCGCGGGAAGCCGGGCAAGGGATGGGAGGGTGTGGGCACGATGAAGCGAGGAGCTGACCTCTCCAGCTCTGTGCTGGTAGAAAAGTCTCATCTCTGCCTCTGTCATGGTCCTCTCTTCACTCGTTAGGATGTCAAACCCAGCTTCCTGGATCTGCAGAACACAGATGTGTATCTGAGTACTCTGGCAGCACAGCAAGCCCAGAGCCATGTTTCACGCAGTTAAAATATAAAAACTAAAGACGGGCAACGTCCGAAGCTGTAGAGGCTCTCAGGCCCCACTGCACCTGTCCCCAGCAGATCCAGCATTTATCATTCACTTGAGTGGAATGTGAGTGACGGCTCCTTGGCTCCTTCTTTCCCCTCAAGGATGCCCCACCTTGAGGACACTGGTGCCACCCGAGTGCTCTCTCACCTTCACCATAATCTCATCAGCCTTGCCGTGCACCACTGCATCTGGCTTAATGATCGCCAGGGTACAGGTCTTCTCCGAGGAGACTGGAAGAGGCCGAGAGAGGGCGCTGTGAGGTGCTGGTGGGGGAAGCTCCCACGAGGCACTACACAAGGCTCCACTGCACAGAGTGCAGGGCTCCTGGGGTGCTGTCGCCTGGCTTCTTAGCTGTGCCCCTGCAGACCCAAACTCTTAAGCGATGCCCCCTGGGCTGGCTCCAGTCCTCAACCTCAACCTGGCTGCGAGGAACCGAGGCTGGCCCCACGAACCCAAGAGGGGACCTCTGAGAGACTGCTCAGGAACAGAAAGCGAGAGAGAAACAAATGAATCAGCCTGGAGTGGCAGCAACACAGACCCGGCCACCCGCCGCCGCCTGTCCCCGTCAGGATCTGCAGCCTCCGCTGCTGCCCGTGCATTCTCCTCTCTCCGGGCTGCCTTGCCTCTGCTGCTTTTCACCTTTCCTGCCATATGACCAGTAATGGCTGCCCCGGGGCCCGGAGTCTACACAGCTTTCGGCTCTAGTCCTTGCTGTTTCAATGCAAATTCCAGGAGAAGGCGCCTCGATGGGCCAGCTCCTTGTGAGCTGAGGCACCAGTTGCACACTGGCCAGTCTACACCACAGTCTGCATTCCCCCCAACACCTGTTCCCACCCTTCACGTTGGTTGCGGTGCAACGAGACAAGACCATATCTGCACTGAAGGAGCATTTTCAATGCAAAAAAAAAAAAAAAGTCTCAAAAACATGAAAGGGCCTGAAATCATTTTAGGCAATAAATCTGTCCGTTTTCTCATGATGATGAATTCGAATGTGCTAGGAATTCTTACACTTTAAGAGATTGTTATAGGGGCTGGCACTGTGGCATAGTGGATAAAGCTGCCGCCTCCAGTGCCAGCATCCCATATGGGCAGCAGTTCTAGTCCCGGCTGCTCCACTTCCGATCCAGCTCTCTGCTATGGCCTGGGAAAGCAGTGGAGGATGGACCAAGTCCTTGGGCCCCTGCACCTATGTGAGAGACCTGGAGGAAGCTCCTGGCTCCTGGCTTTGGATCGGTGCAGCTCTGGCCATTGTGGTTATCTGGGGAGTAAATCAGAGGATGGAAGACCTCTCTCTCTCTCTCTCTCATTCTCTCTCTCTCTTTCATTCTCTCTTTCCTCCTGTCTCTGTATAACTTTCAAATAAATAAATACAATAAATCTTTCAAAAAAAGAGATTGTTACAATAAGTCCCATTATTAATAGAGTGATGAGTGAGCTCACCAGGAAGTGTAGAGGGAGAAGAGGCCAAAGCAGGCACGCACTGAGCCCCAGCTGGAGAGTGCAGCCCAAGGAACCAGTGAGAGAAAGAGGGGGGAGCCGGAGGAGCAACACAGCAAGCACCTGACAGGTCAGAGCCGAGAGGAGGGCTCTTGAGGAGGCAGATGTGAGATCCTCCTATTCTGCCGAACCATCCCCCGGACTAGAACTGGCGCCTGCCCGTCAGCTTGGGCACCACGAGGATCGCCGTGGGCAGAGGCCAGGCATGGGTGGGAGGCAGAGAGTGGGCAGATGTCCCAAAGCTTGGCCGTCAGCGAGAGCAGGCTAAGGGCCAGGGCACGGCAGGGTGTGGTTTGGGAAGAAATCGCGAAGGAGGGCGGAAAGAGGACATGAGCAGAGAGGAGGCAACAGGTGGCCCCGGCAGAAGCCCAGCTGCTGATTCCGTCTTCACAGCTGAAGTTTTCTGGAGGCCCTAAACCGTCCTCCTTCCGTGTTAGGATCCAACTCAGCCTCGTGACCCACACCCGGAGAAACAGCCCCTCCACTTCGTGCAGGCGTTTCTAAAAACTCCCTCTTCTTAGCAGCTTGGCTCCTGAGCCTCACCCCTTCTCCCTGGTGTCTCAGTACCCACGCAGGACGCCACCCCACAACTGCTTCCTACCTCCTGGCTTCTCTTACAGCCAGACCAAGTCGGTCTCAAAAGGGTGGGAAAAAATAAAGATTTTTGAAAACATTTTTATTGACTTGAAAGGTAGAAAGAGAAAGTGACCGACAGAGATCTCCCCTCCACTGGTTCATTCCCCAAATGCCCACAGTAGCTGGGGTTGGGTCAGGCCAAAGCCAGGAGCCAGGAACTCAACCCAGGTCTCACCTGGGGGGCAGGGACCTGAGTCCGGGAGCCATCATGGGCTGCCTCCGAGGGTCAGCGTAAGCAGGAAGCTGGATCAGAAGTGGGGGCAGGGCTTGAACTCAGGTGCTCCAATGTGGTAGGCAGATGTCCTAAGAGGTGTCTTAAATTGCTACACTGAACGCCCACCTCTTTCAGCTCAGGTCAGGACTCGGCCAAGCCCAGAGTCACTGCCTTAAGTCCGTTTCCCTCATTTGACTGAGTGGAGCTCGCCATGAATGTCACACTTGTTAAACTCAACAATTTTTTTTTTTTTTTGACAGGCAGAGTGGACAGTGAGAGAGAGAGAGACAGAGAGAAAGGTCTTCCTTTGCCGTTGGTTCACCCTCCAATGGCCGCCGCGGCCAGCGCGCCGCGCTGATCCGATGGCAGAAGCAAGGAGCCAGGTGCTTATCCTGGTCTCCCATGGGGTGCAGGGCCCAAGCACCTGGGCCATCCTCCACTGCACTCCCTGGCCACCTCAGAGAGCTGGCCTGGAAGAGGGGCAACCGGGACAGAATCCGGCGCCCTGACCGGGACTAGAACCTGGTGTGCCGGCGCCGCAAGGCGGAGGATTAGCCTAGTGAGCCGCGGCGCCGGCCTCTGAATGTCACACTTGTTCTACTTGAACGAGAGAGAGCGGTGGAATGCGCCCAAGATGCTGCTCCGGGGCAACTGGCAACGAAACAGTTGATGCTTGGTCTGCTCAGAGTTCAGACTGCCCAACCCGCTGACTGCTCACGCTCACGCATTTACCGTCCAGCGGATCTGGCCGCCTTGCCCCACTCGCCACACTCGTCGCTGCTGCACTCACCCACGTCCTCGTCTGCCCGACCGTCCTTTCCACGGGAAAGACATCCGTCTTCATCAGACAGAGCCTCGTCCTTAATCTAGCACAAAGTGGTCATGAACGGAACGCAGTTAGCTCATTAAAATGCCCACTAAGCCCTCTCCAACCCCGCAGAAAACGAAGAGGCAAAGGCCAAAACACAGGGCCGGAAAGGGTGGGAGGCGGGGAGGGGAGGGAGGGTGATCAGAGTCTTGGAAGCTTGAGGAGCTCCTGTTTAGTTGGTGGGGGATGGGGGGGGGTGAGAGCTGGAACACCAGGAAATCCATGCTGGCTTCAGTTTTAGCCTCTGCCTGTTTCATGAGCATTAGGTAGGCACTGAAGAAAAAAGCAACATAGGAAATTGGCCAGAAGACACAGAATTGAAAATGCAAGTTGCTATTAAGTGATCAGCTACAGAGTGCGAAGACGAGTATAGGGAGGGGTCGCCTGTCTTCCCTGGAGGATGCACAAGGAACTGGAAGCATTTGCAATTTTTTTTCCCCTTAGGGGAAAACTGCTAGTTTTCTTGAAAAAGACTGGATTGGATTCTTATGCAGGCTATGAAAAGAGGGCTTTGCTATTTGGAATTGAATCTGAGAGCCTGCATAACGAGCAGGGAGAATGTTCAGGCACGCACGCGCTGGGCAGATGCACAGAGCATCTGCAAATGTCTCTCTCCACCCACGGTGTGTGGATTTCAAGTGCAGCCAGTGTGTGTGTGTGTGTGTGTGTGTGTGTGAAGAATTTGCAGCCTGTGTTATCATGGAAATAGCGTCTCACACGGCAAGCTCTGCCGCCCTTGTCTCTCCTGGTCCCACAGAGCTTCATTTCTAGATGAAAGGAATGCAGCTGGTGGGACCCCAAGGAAACCCTCCAGGGATGTGAGGGTCCTCAGGAGAGAGTTCACCCATAGGCCCGGGGAGCCCACAGTGCTGCCCCTCCGCCCAGCTGCATGGCTCTCTGACTTCAGTTTCATGTCTGCACTCAGTGTGTGTGAAGAGGTCGCACGGGGGATGGAAGGGAAACGGGTAAGAGTAGTGAAAGGACTTTGGGAAAGGGGGTGCCTCTTACAAGAAGCTTCCAAACGCACACACATCACAGAGGTGCACAGCAGCTTCCGGGGCCGTGCGTGAGGGACAGAGCCAGCGTGGGACCCGAGTGCGGCTGTCCCCTGACAGCTCCCAGGAAGGTGGGCAGGGCGGCGGGGTGGGGCTGGGGCGGTGGGGGCGGGACTTGGGAGCCTGCAGCTTGCAGAACTTTCTCTTTACCGCTTTCCGCTCTCCGCCTTCAGCCAGCACCTGCTTCTCAGCCTCCAGCTGGTCGAGGATGGTTTTCTGCAGCAGCGGAGCATTGGCGCCTCTAACCACAGCCACCAGCTCTCCGCCCTAGCACAGGTTACAAGGGACCAAACCGGTGGTAAGGAGTCTGCCCAAGATCAAGGCCAGCCCAACCCAGCCCAGGCCCATGGCCTCTAGCTTCCTCTTCGCTGCAGGCTGCATCCCGGCCCAGGGGGCCCTCCCGTCTGTTCCCCGCTCTCACCCGGCTTTTCTCTTTTCCTCTCTCCCCTCTGCCTCCTCCCCGCAGCCCCTGCTTTCAGAGTTTCCCCGAGGTAGCGGGCAGTTGGTGAGGGCAGGAGCAGTGCACACTCTGTAGCTTGTGGGTGGCTCAATTCAGACAACAAATCCCTGAGCCAGCGCCCAGCCAAGGGCAAAGAGCAGAATCACTGAAAGTAAAAGGACAGAGTCGCGGCCTCCGTGAAGGAGGAGGAAAAGGTCGTCGTGCACAAGAAGTGATCGCTGTACAGCCAGGCAGCGCCATCTGGGTGGTCAGGGAAGCCTTCCTGGTGTGGGTGGCATCTGGGGTGAACCTGCGTTGTCTCAGTGTGCGTCCCAGTGGCGTGAGCACAGGGCATGGGGCTTCCCTCCATCGCCATCCCTCCACCCAGGGGGCCACGTTCCAGCTCTGGTGATGGTGATTTATGGCTTAATGGCTTGCAGCCATCACACCGTGTAGAAACCATCGTGTGTCTACTGCGGGGCTCCCACGTCCAGCGTGGCTGCAGGTGCGCACACCTCTGAGCACCTGTCACTCTGCCCTCCCTTCCTTGAGAATCTCAGTCTCCCTACTACAGTGCGAGGCTGGAATCATGGCTGAGCATGAGCTTGTCATGTGCGATGCTTGCAGAGCTGAGGCCAGGACCAGACCAAAGTTCTCCAAGATGAACAACCTTGGCCTGGTCCTCAGGAGACCCGGCTGAGTAGACCCCAGTTTCCCTGACCGAACAAGGAGGGGGGCTGGCCTGGATCAGGAGCAGGGTATCAATCTGTTGTAAGTACAGACTCCGAGGGGCACGGAGCTCGACCGTGGGTGCAGCACCCAAATTCTCTTTGCAAAACACCGAACCACGTGGCTTCCCCCAGTCATCGCTCTCATTTCTGACTCTGTAACGACCTTTATGTTTTACGGGGACATAAAAGGCGAATGCAGAGCTCGTCCAGGCTGTAAGGGAGTATTCACCGTGGTTGCAGCTGTCCTTTACAGAGCAGAAGACAGAAGTCTGAAAACCTGGAGCACTGAGGGCTCGGAGGACTTCTGCGCCGAGAAGGAGCACGTGCAGTGCAGGGAGACCGCTGGGGAGCCTCATCGTCCACCGCCCATTGGGCAGAGCCCCAGAGCCGGCACCCTGCAGCACCGCATCTTAGGGGAAGTCTGTGTGTTGCCCACGGAACAGAACAGTCCAGAGGAATGTCCATACTCATGTGGTTCCGAGAGCGAGCGAGCTGATGCCAGCGAGACGCATCTCATCGAGCTCTGATGATCTGTGAGCGTCAAGTGATCTGCTTCGGAAAATGTACTTACCGCATAAAACAGAAAGGTGGGCTCGCACCTCCCGCGGTATTTGTTGAGGACATCAAGAGAGTCGGCCTCTGCCTACAGGAAACAGGCAGTCAGCAGGCCCCCTGGGCCACCGCCCTCCCGGTGCGGCCCTGCATCTCTCTCAAGCTGCTCCTGTCCCACTGCCTTGAGCCAAATGAAGAGGGGACAAAGTTCCTCCTGCGCCCAGCCCAGCCACGCCACCCAGTGATGGGGAGGGAGGGCGCTGAGGCCTTGCCCGCGTTGTCTGACAAAACCCACCGGGTGTGGACCTAACAGATCCTCAGGCAGCTTTTCCCAAGCACACTCTGCAGAAGCCCCCAAAACGGGTCCCAGGGGAGGAGCGGTCAAGGGCTTGAAGTCCCACTGCTTAAGACCCGGCTGCTCAGTTCTGTCGCCCCCCTCCTCTCTGTCTGTGAACCTCCAACCCGTGTGCGTGTCCACAGCGTCCCTCGCACACTGATCTGCAGTTGAGACCCATTTTCCCTCAGTGGTCCTGGGGACTATGTGCTGGCCGTCCCCTCTGTGGAGCAGAGGGTGGCAATTTAGAAGCTTGCGCTCTGGGAGTCACGTTGCAGCCGATAGTGTTCACAGGCCAAGAGTAGCACACGCCTTCCCCCCAAACAGCCTCGAGACACGGCCCCCAGATGATAAAGCCCCCAGATGATAAAGCATCGCCACAGACATCAAGAAAACATCCACAGCCGATGCTTTTCAGTGATCTGAACAAAGCGGCTCCCCCTTCCTGATGCCGTCTGCGATCTTCAAACATTGGGTGACATTTTGCTGCGAGAGACGCTTACCAGTGCAAAATGCAGAAGGTCCGGGCCAACCTCGAGCCTCAGCTTCTGGAAAAGGCTCACCGCAGGCTTGCAGGGGCCGCACCAGCCTTGGTAGACGTCAACGACTGCGTGGAACCGAAACCGGGTGCGCTCAGCAGGCGCCGGGGCCCCCACCACGCCAGGCAGCATGAGTTCGTGGTTTTGCTGTTTGTGGACTCAGATTTCTGACTTGCACATCAAGTGAGAGCCACTCACCTAGTTCAGTGTAAGTGTTCACTGTGGAATGACTGGAGGGCGGGGCTTCCCGGCAGAGGGGCGGCTGCACCGGGCACGGTGGGAATGCCAGGCATGGATAGGCAGAAACGGAGGCGAGGTGCAAAGCCTGGGCAGCTGGCCCCAGGCACAGTCTGGGGACCCTGGGTGGCGTAGTGGTGGGTGGTAGTGGCAGGGGTCCCTGCAGTGGCTGGCGTGCAGGGTTGAGGAGCTCCATCCTGGTTTACTAGGCAGTAAGGATTCGTGGGGACTTGCAGAGAGGAGGGGGCCTAACACTCATCTTTGCTGAGCTGCATTTTGCTCTTCTCTCAGAAGGCCCAGGAAGATGGCTATCATTATCCCCTGCGCAGATGAGGGAGCAACTTCAAAGAGGTGAAGCCGCTGGCCCAAGTTAAAAGGAATGTTTTTCCGGCAGTATGCTTTAATGCATGCACACACGCTGCTCTAACAGGGTGGCTTACAGAGAGCATGAATTTATTTCTCACGGCTCTGGAGGCTGGGAAGTGCCAGATCAAGGTGCCAGAAAGTTCTATTGCCTGCTGAGGGCCGCACCCTTTGGAGAAGAGAACTGTCCTCACCAAGGCAAGGCAAAAGAGAGGGCCAACATCTCCCTGGAGGCCTGCCGCAAGAGCACCCAGTCCTGCTCCTGAAGGCAGGAGCCGTCACGACCTAGTCACCTTTTTATATTATTTATTTATTTAAGTATGTGAAAGGCAGACAGGCAGCCAGGGCAAGAGCCAGGGCTGGGCCAGGCCTACGCCAGGAGCCAGGAATGCAATGCGGGTCAGCTGTGTGGGTGACAGACACCCAAGTACCCGGGACATCACCTGCTGCCTCCCAGAGTGTGTATCCACAGGACGCTGGAATTGGAAGCAGAGCCAGGACCAGAACCCAGGCACCACTCTGATGCGGGATGTGGATTCCCAAGTGGCTGGCATCTTGAGCGCTATGCCAAATGCCAGCCCTTCACTCCTTCCCCCATCACTTCCTAAGGACTGCCTCTCTTTAAAAAAGATGTATTTGTTTATTTGAAAGGCAGACTGATACAAGGACAGAGGAAGAGACAGAGAAGAGACAGATTGTCCGTCCAGTGGTTCACTCCCAAATGCCTGCAGTAGCCAGGGCCATGGGGCTGGCGCTGTGGCATAGCGGGTAAAGCTACCACCTGCAGTGCCGGCATCCCATATGGGCGCTGGTTCTAGACCCGACTGCTCCTCTCTTGATCCAGCTCTCTGCTATGGCCTGGGAAAGCAGTAGAAGATGGCCCAAGTACTTGGGTCCCTGCACCTACGTGGGAGACCTGGAAGAAGCTCCTGGCTCCTGGCTTTTGATTTCCAATTGGCCCAGCTCCAGCTGTTGTAGCCATTTGGGGAGTGAACCAGTGGATGGAAGACCTCTCTATCTCTCGTTTTCCCCTCTGCCTCGCTGTAACTCTGCCTTTCAAATAAACAAATCTTAAAAAACAAAAACAAAAACAAAAAACCAAAAACCGAAAGTCAGCCAGGGCCAGGCCAGGCTGAAACCAGGAGACAGGAACTCCATCCAGGTCTTGAGCTGTTACCCACTGTCTCCCAGACGCATTAGCAGGAAGTTGGGTCGGAAGCAGCAGAGTAGCTGCGACACAAACGCCTGCCCTCCCGCAGCACCCACGTCTTAATACCACCCCACTGGCCATTAAGTTTCGGCGTCTGGGTTTGTAGGGACACATTCAGACCACAGTGTCGTAAGCCAAGTTTTGAACCTGCGCTTGTCTGATACCCATGCTTGTTCAACTGCTCCGGGAAGGAGCAAAACATGAATTCAAGAGTGTTGGTCGGTTCAACCGATTAGCGTAATTTTGCAGGAAGTGAGAGCCAAGATGAGGAAGCCAGGCACAGGGTAGGGAGGAGTGGGGACAGAAAGGAAAGGAGGGAGGAGTCCATGAGACCTGAGTGGGAACACAGGGCACGGAAATCAAGTGGCCTTGGTGCTGCAGCTCACTAGGCTAATCTTCCGCCTGCGGCGCCAGCACACCGGGTTCTAGTCCCGGTTGGGGCGCCGGATTCTGTCCCGGTTGCCCCTCTTCCAGTCCAGCTCTCTGGTGTGGCCCAGGAGGGCAGTGGAGGATGGCCCAAGTGCTTGGGCCCTGCACCCCATGGGAGACCAGGAGGAAGTACCTGGCTCGTGGCTCCAGATCGGCGCAGCGCTGGCTGTGGCGGCCATGAGGGGAGTGAACCAACGGAGAAAGAAAGACCTCTTTCTCTGTCTCTCTTTCTCTCAATGTCTAACTCTGCCTGTCAAAAAAAGAAAAAGAAAAAAAGAAAAGAAAATCAAGTGGCCCTGAGTGGCTTAACCTCTGAGCCTAACATGGGTGGGGCTGGGAGAGGTAACCAGAGGGAGGAACCAGAACATCTAAGAGAAGGGATCCTAAAGGCAGCCTGATGCCCACAAGGACAGCGGGGTCAGACACGTGGGAGTGGGGCCGCCCCAGCACCCAAGCAAAGGACACGGCTGTGAGCTTGTCTGTGGCAAGTGTATTGCGATCGATGGAGTTTTTATTTCAACACATTCGAGTCCCATGTGAGAAGGCCCAGTGAGGCATCTGGGTCAGGCCTGGAAAAAGCCCCTGAAAACCTAGAGGGTCCTGAGTACAGATGCACTGAGGAGGGCAGGTGCAGGGCCCGAAGGGGAACTCTGGGGTCCAGTTCGCTTTACATCTCTCTGCGGTGTCTGCGCGAGTTTCCTGGTGGTTTCTACCAGCGCCACATCCTCTGCTCCACGCCTTGGCGCTGGGAGGAGCGGAGGGGACAGAGGCACAGGTCACAGGCTCGCAGAGTGAGCGAGCGACTGTGGAGGACAAGGACGGGGAGTGTGACTCTCAAGAACAAGCAGCAGCCCAGAAGGCACCTGCAAGGAAGGACGGACAGGAGGAAAGTGTGTGTGGAGCTGAGGACACGTGTGGCTATTGAAAGGCCAGGGAAACGAGCCCACAGGAGGTAAGCTTTCCAAGATGGTGACCAACTTCGGAAGCAGACTTCTGCCAGCCACGGGTAGAGGGAATAGAATTGCATACATTCTCCACAGCATGACAAGAAGGGGCTGAAGGGGCTGGCGTTGTGGTGTAGTGGGCTAAGCCTCCGCCTGTGATGCCGGCAACCCATATGGGTGCCGGTTCGAGTCCCGGCTGCTCCACTTGTGATCAAGTTTCCTGCTAATGCACCTGGGAAAGTAGTGGAAGATGGCCCAAGTGCCTTGGCCTCTGCACCCATGTGGGAGACCTGGAAGAAGTTCCTGGCTTTGGACTGGCCCAGCTCTGGCCATTGTGGCCATTTGGGAAATGAACCAGCAAATGGAAGACCTCTCTCTCCCTCTGTCTTAAACTCTACCTCTCAAATAAATAAATAATTAAAAAACAAAACAAAACAAAAAACCCACGAGAGACTGAGAGGCACCTTTGCCACTCTCAGCAAAGGCCCGTGAACCACTTAGGGAAGATGTGGCTGAGACTCAGGGCACAGTGTTGTTAGCTGCAGTCACACAGGGTGCTTATCAGGGTGGCTGGCACACAGACAATTCTCAAAAAAAAAAAAAAATACAGGATGGTGGTTTCTCACTGTTGCTAAAGGAATAGAAATAATGACTTGTCTTGCCCTGATTGTCCAGACAAGACACACAAACAAAATAGTTAAACCTGGGCACCACCTAAAAGGCTTTCTAATCCCTTCCATGGAGAGTGTGGCAACACTCACACCCACACAACACGATCAATGCATCCAGAGCTTGTGTAGCCTGCACTCAGCCCCAGGCCTGGGCAAGTCTGCACAGACGGGACATGAAACGGGCAAGCCTCTGTGGCTAGAGTCGGGGGTACGCCAGGAGAGCAGCCACACAGCCAGCGGCCAGTCCAGATGTCCTCGGTGCTCCAAGGAACAAGTGACCATACAGAGGTTCCGGAAGTACATCCTTCCCAGAGACCACTTTTGAGCTGGGCCTGGGAATGAGATCTCTACAGGTCACATGGAACCACGCTGTTCCCGGTATTGGGAGCAGGGGTGAGGGGAAGTAGTGGGGAAACTGGATCTATGCCCAGGCGGCGTGTCAGAGCTCAGCACGCTCCTGGGCAGGCAGTGGGGGAGGAAAGATGGATGGTAGGAGACAGGGAGGGGGCAAGGAGGCAGGAGCCACGTGGGGGTGGCCTTGGGGGGACATGGGGTGCTGTCAGCCAACTGAGCAGTTATTCTTTTTTTTTTTTAAATTTTTTTTGACAGGCAGAGTGGACAGTGAGAGAGAGAGACAGAGAGAAAGGTCTTCCTTTTGCCGTTGGTTCACCCTCCAATGGCCGCCACAGCTGGCACGCTGCGGCCAGCACACCGCGCTGATCTGAAGCCAGGAGCAAGGTGCTTATCCTGGTCTCCCATGGGGTGCAGGGCCCAAGCACTTGGGCCATCCTCCAGTGCACTCCCGGGCCACAGCAGAGAGCTGGACTGGAAGAGGGGCAACCAGGACAGAATCCGGTGCCCCGACCGGGACTAGAAGCCGGTGTGCCAGCACAGCAGGTGGAGGATTAGCCTATTGAGCTGCAGCGCCGGCCCTGAGCAGATATTCTTATAGAGGAAACAACGGGGCAGACACAGAAAGAGTGCACCAACCTCTAGTGGGAAGGAGAAGGAAGGAAGGGTGCCTGAGAGGTGGTGGACAGCCTTGAAGGCAGCTCCCATGATCCCTGCCTCGGATGCATGGCCTCATGCAACCCCTGCCCTTGAGTGCGAGCCAGACCCCGGGACTGGCTTCTCAGGGGTGGAACACGGCAACAGCCGTGGGATGTCACACGGAAGATGAGGCTGACAGAGGCTGTGACTCCATCTTGTTGCCCCAGCCCTCGCGAGTGGCGAGTTTCCATGTCGTGAGTGGCCTCCTGGAGACAATGTTGGCATAACACTGACGGCTCTGGCCAACAGCTGGTGTCGACTGGAATCCCGCCAGCAGCCACGTGACGGAAATCGGAAGTGGGGCTTGTACGGTCTGCCAACAGCCACCTCAATGAGCTTGAAGGCCAGCCTGTTCCTCTTTGGGCCTTGGGGTTCCCTATCTGACTCCTTAAGCTGCACCCTGGTGAGAGACCCAGGACCAGGGGCACCCAGCTAAGCTGCACCTGGCTTCCTGACCCACAGGAGTGGTGGGTTGTTGTAAACCACTGACTTTGGATTAGCTCATTGTGCAGCAACACGTAACTGATGGCAGACAGAGGTGGCGAGGCCCCTCTAAGAGGCTGTGCTGGTTCCCGATGACTGCGCAGCCTCTGATGCCTGGCTCTCCACCCAACCCTCGGTCCCAGGAGGTCCCCATTTTCCTTCTGCTTCTTACATTCTTAAATTTGTGCCTCAGGCAATCAGGTTTCTGTTCTTTAACTCAAAGCAACCCTGAGTAGAGAAAGCAACTGTGGCACAGTAGGCTAAGCCTCCTCCTACAGTGCCGTCATCCCATATGGGCACCGGTTCGAGTCCCGGCTGCTCCACTTCTGATCCATCTCTCTCTGCTATGGCCTGGGAAAGCAGTAGAAGATGGCCCAAGTCCTTGGGCCCCTGCGCCTGTGTGGGAGACCCAGAAGAAGCTCCTGGCTTCAGCCTGGCCTAGCCCTGGTCATTGTGGCCATTTGGGGAGTGAACTAGCAGATGGAGGATCCCTCTCTGTAATCCTGTCTTGCAAATAAATATTTTAAGTACGAGTTGTTTATTTCTGGAGTTTTCCAGGCAATGACTATGGATAATGGATAACGGTCAACTGCAGGACCTGAAGCTGTGGAAGGTGGGGTCACAGATAAAGGGGCTGCTGTACACGCAGTCACCACCTGGGCACCTGTGAGGCTCAAGGCCACAGGAAATGGGCTCCCTGCAGCCTTTTCATCAGGTTTCAGCCCATCATTGAGCAACTCGGGAGAACGGATCTGAAAAGGTATCCCACTTTATTACCTGTTAGTCCTTTGGAACTCAGCATTTCCTCCCACAGCTCCTGGGTACTGATGTTAACCTAAAGCCAGAGAGGATCCAATGGTGTATTATTATGAATGACAGGTGTGAAATTTAATGCATGTGCCCAAGATTTCTCTCTCTCCCCGCCCGTCTCCAGGACAAACACAGCACAAGTTTCCTCCTCCCTCACACCTCTTCTCTCTTTCCCACTCTTCCTGCTCCCGCCCCAGGAAAACCCACTCTCCCAAGATTCATGGGAACTATCTTCCAGCATTAAAAAATAATTTTACCTGTTATCGGTCCAGAAAAAATACATATCATTGCTTTGCTCCTTAAAGTGTTCATAAATGGTACTAAGCTGTAGGTTTCCTTTTACACTTTGTGTTTTCTCACTATCAGAAATGAGTTGAATTGTCATTTTTTCCATTTTTCCTCTTATTTACAATGAGTTCTAGTTTACATTAGATAGGACATACAAGGAGAAATGTATATTATCCCTCTCTATGAATATTCTATATTTTCGTGTAATTTCTTTTACTTTGAAACAACTTAAAATACATAGAAAATGTGTAAGCTTAAAGAACTGTTTAAGGGCTGACACTGTAGTACAGTGGGCTAAGCCTCTGCCTGAGGTGCCGGAATCCCATGTGGGTGCCAGTTTAAGTCTGGCTGCTCCTCTCCTGATCCAGCTCTCTGCTGTGGCCTGGGAAAGCAGTGGAGGATGGCCCAAGTCCTTGGGCCCTTGCACCCGCATGGGAGACCAGGAAGAAGCTCCTGGCTTCAGATTGGCTCAGCTGCGGCCATTGCGGCCATTTGGGGCGTGAATCAGCAGATGGAAGATCTCTCTCTCTCTTCCCTCTGTCTGTAACTCTACCTCTTTCAAATAAATACATTTTTTAAGAAAACTTTTAAAAAAGTTATTTCAAAGTTATTTCCATCACCCGCTGAACACTAGCTCATGTAATTACAATACCTTCATCAAATTTAGGGGGAAAAAATCACTGACGTATTCTTACTATGTAATTCTTAGATACCACCCAACTTAGCCAATTGTCCCAACAGTATCTTGAATAGCAAAGAAACCCATCAGAATCACATGCTGGCTCTCTCTGTCAGCTCTTCTTAGTCTTTGTCTGGAACAGTTCGTCCATCTTTCTGTTACCCTGTGACCTTGACACAGAAATGAAATGACAGTGATTTTGTGGACTGTCCCTCAGGGGGCTGTGTATGACATTTCCTCCTGATGAGACTCACTCAGCCTGTGCCGCTGAGGACAGACTCAAATTGAAAACTTCTCCTTGCATCCTATCAAGTGGTACACGAACTCCATGGGCTCATTACTGATGATGTTCCCTTTGGTCCCTGGGCCAAGGTCATCCGTTGGGCTCCTCCACTGTAAAATTATTCTCTTGTCCTTTATCATTAACATGGATGTGTGTGTGTGTGTAACTTCTTTGAAACTGCAAATTAAAAGACCATGGAAATTACTTGCTCTGAATTCAGGTCTTCTAAGGTTTGCGTCCCTTTAAGAGGTATCTGTAATAAATAAACCTGCAACATCGTAAACCCTCTAGCAAAGGTTCCTCTTTTTAAGGCGGCACTCACCATGCTTTTTTTTTTAAAGAGGAGAGAAAATGGGAACGTCTCTGTGCTGCCTTAAATGAGGCAAGAGAGTGTGAAGGTGCCCAGGGCTCACAACCATGCTTGCAGGAAAGGACAGAAGGGTTCAGAAGAGCCCTACCCAGAGGCTCAGCTCTCAGTGGTCAGTAGCGACTGCCCCTGTCCTGGAGTGAGCCCGGCCTGCTCTGGGGCCAGGGCTCTGGGCACTTGACAGCGTGAGCTCTCGGAGCAGGGCAGAAATAGGAAGGTACTGGAAACGGCCGGGCAGCACCAGGCCCTCCGCGGGGTGGAGGTGAATAGGAAGTGTAGGGCACCTTTGCACTGGCCCTACTTGCTGATAAACGAGAATCTGAGAACAGAGCAGTTATAGATCCATAGCGAACTCCGGAGATCATATTCCCTAAGCAAGGGGCAATGGTGCTTCCATAAAAAATGGCACAGTCACATTGACTGCTCTTGGTATTGTTTTTTGCGTTTTTCTTCTTTCTCATGCATGGTTGGGTTGTATGAACACCGCAAGCATAAAGAGCTGTCCAAGTTTGATACGTGCAAGTGCGCCCCCCCCCCCATACACTGTGTTACCGCCAGGGTCCGGGAGCGCGCACGCCCCCCCCCACACACCGTGTCACCGCCAGGGTCCGGGATAAATGTTTTCCTTTTAAGGCAGAGGGTACGATGACGTCACATATGCTGTCACATATACAGTTAGCAAACGTCACTTACAGACCATAGCACACCTCCCACCCCCTCCCAACCCCATCCAAAGGCGGGAAGCTGGCGCCCCCGGAGGCTTACCTGCAAGGCAGCTTCCTTCTTCCTGCTGCCCATGGCTCTGCAAAGAAAGCGAAGCCTGTTAACGCCGCCTCGCACCCGTGCTGGCCGCAGCCTCGCGACTACCAAGGCCCCCAGCCCCAGCTTCTGCCACAAAGCGCACACCCCGCGGTGGGCGGTGGAGCCCGCAGCCAGCGAGCTAGTGGCTCCCCGGACGGTTTTCCGGGCGCTTTGCCCGCCGATGGGGGAGCCCCGTTAACTCCGCTGTTTCCACGTCTCGCCGGTAAAACCGCGTCCTTGCAGCGACCTCGCGGCAGGGACACGGTGCTCCAAGCGCCCAGTCTCCTACCGAGTCCGCCGCGACCGAGCTACGGTCGTCATGGCAACCCAGCACCGGCGGAGCGGGCCGGGGCGGCGGAAGCCACGCCCACTCTGCGCCAGGGAGACCGCGAGCCGGATCCTGGCTGGCGGGAGCGGGAGCGTGGCACCCTGGGCGGTGGCATCCCCGCGGCCCCGCCTGCCAGGGGTAAAGCCTGCTAGGCAGGGGCAGCCCCAGGTTTGAAGCGTCTGTGAGGGTTCTCTTTAAGACAAAGAAGGCAGAATTAGGAAATCTAAATTAAGTATGAGAGCCAAGTGGAGCAAATGTAAAATGATCACAAACACGGTGGATGTGAATCCAGCTGTAGCAATAATCAGTTTAGACGTGGGTGCTCTAATGAGAGAGAGTGAATTTTAAAAATCGAGCATCAAGGCCCAACTGTGTGCTGTCTACAGTAAACCTACTTTAAATGTGAAGACACAGACTCATTAAAGTTACAGGGACTGGGGCGCGTGCGGAGCCTAGCAGTTAAGACAGCCGTATTCCGTATCAGGGTACCAGAGCTCCTGACCCCAACTTCCTGCTGACACAGACCCCGGCTCAAGTAATTGCGTTCCTGACACCCACGCAGCAGAGATCTGGATTGAGTTCCCAGCTCTGGGCTTCAGCCACTGGGGGCGTTTGGTGAGTGAACTCTGTGTGTGTGTGTATCAAATAAATATTAAACACTTCAAATTAAAGGGATAGCGAAAAGTCTGGTAAGTTAAAAGTAAAGGGATGGAGAAAACTATGCTAACAAGAATCGAAAGAAAGCTGAAACATCTATATTCCATTCAGGCAAAGCAAACTTCAGAACAATGCAATCTATCAGAGATAAACAGGGGCATCATATATAGTTAAAGGGGTCATCTTCTGGGAAGACATAATAATTCTTTTTTAAGATTTTATTTATTTATTTGAGAGGCAGAGTTACAGAAAGGGAGAGGCAGAGAGAAAGGTCTTCCATCTGCTGGTTCTCTCCCTGAATGGCTGCAATGGCCAGAGCTGGGCTGATTGGAAGCCAGGAGCTTATTCCGGGTCTCCCACGCTGGTGCAGGGGCCCAAGTGCTTGGGCCATCTTCTGCTGCTTTCCCAGGCAATAGCAGAGAGCTGCATCAGAAGTGGAGCAGCCAGGACATGACCCAGTGCCCATATAAAATGCCGGCGCCACAGGCAGAGGCTTAGCCCACTACACTAAGGCTCCAGTCCCGACATAATTCTGAACACGTATGTACTTAGCAGTGCATCCAAACACAAAGCAAAGAGACTGAAAGAGAGACAAACCGTAGAGAGTGGCAGATGTCCACACTGTTCAGCTATGACAATCAGAGGCAGAAAATGAGTAAGGATATATTTGAGCAACATCAGTCAAATTGATCCAATTCATTTTTTTTAAATTAACTACAAACCTTATTGCATTTCACCAGGTTTTCCACCAATGCTCCTTTTTTTTTTTTTTTTTTTAACAGGCAGAGTGGACAGTGAGAGAGAGAGACAGAGAGAAAGGTCTTCCTTTGCCGTTGGTTCACCCTCCAATGGCCGCCGCGGCCGGCGCACCGCGCTGATCCGAAGTCAGGAGCCAGGTGTTTCTCCTGGTCTCCCATGGGGTGCAGGGCCCAAGCACTTGGGCCATCCTCCACTGCACTCCCTGGCCACAGCAGAGAGCTGGCCTGGAAGAGGGGCAACTGGGACAGAATCCGGCGCCCCAACCAGGACTAGAACCCGGTGTGCCGGCGCCACACCTCCATTTCTTTTTTTAAAAAAATGTATTTATTTGTTTGAAATGTAGAGCTGATGCCTACACAAAAACATGCATGTGAATGGTTCTAGTAATATTCATAATCACCCAACCAAGCTACCTGTCAGTAGATGAATGAATGGCCAGACTGTGGCAACCTATACAATCAAATATTATTCAGAAATTTTAAAAATGAGCTATCGGGCCAGCACTGTGGCCTGAAGCACCGGCATCCCATATGGGCGTCGGTTCTAATCCTGGCTGCTTCTCTTCTGATCCAGCTCTCTGCTGTGGCCTGGGAAAGCAGTAGAAGATGGCCCAAGTCCTTGGGACCCTGCACCCACATGGGAGACCCAGAGGAGGCTCCTGGCTCCTGACTTCGGATGGGTGCAGCTCCGGCCATTGTGGCCAATTGGGGAGTGAACCAGCAGATGGAAGACCTCTCTCTCCCTCTCTCTCTGCCTCTGCCTCTCCTCTCTGTGTAACTCTGACTTTCAAATAAATAAATAAATAAATATTTTTAAAAATGAGCTATCAAGCCATGAAAAAAACATAGAGGAACCTAAACTGCAGATTGTTAAGTGAAAGAAATAAATCTGAAAAGGCAACATATCATATGGTTCCAACTGTATGATACTGTGAAAGAGGAGACACACACATACACACAGACACAAAATCGGTGGTTGCTTAGGGCCCAGGATGAGGGAAAGGATTATGGATAAAGAACAGATGTTGGGGCTGGCGCTGTGGCCACCTGTGGCGCTGGCATTGCACATGGGAGCCGTTTCTAGTCCCAGCTACTCCTCTTCCAGTCCAGCTCTCTGCTGTGGCCCGGGAAGGCAGTGGAGAATGGCCCAAGTACTTGGGCCCTGCACCCACGTGGGAGACTGGGAAGAAGCTCCTGGATCCTGGCTTCGAATCGGCACAGAGCTTGCTGTTGCAACCAATTGGGGGGTGAACCAGTGGAAGGAAGACCTCTCTCTGTCTTTACCTCTCACTGTCTGTAACTCTACCTCTCAAATAAATAAATAAAATCTTTTTTTAAAAAGAAGAACAGATGTTTAGGTGATGAAACTTTTCTGTCCGATACCTTCATGCTGTTTATGTGACAGTATGGGTTTGTCAAGACCCATAGAATTTCATTGTACAAAAAGTGAATTTTAGTGTTTGCATTAAGAAAAGCATCATTTGGCAGCTGGGGAATCCCAGGAAGAAATGCAGGCTGTGACCAGAGAACCTGGCACGCGTGTGGAACAGCCTCACTGAGGGTGGAGGGAGGAAAGGTGCTGAGCTCAGGGATTTTGCAAATGGCTGGAGTTTGTAAGATGAAAGACAGAATGAGCAAAACGCTAGCACTGCACTATCGCTGATAAGCTGGGTTCCTGTGGGGTACAGATGAAGAATTCTGACGCCACTACACATTTATACCAAAACAGAATGGTTTAGTAAATGGAAGGTAGGAGCCACATTTCTCACTGTTGGCATGGGAATTTACAGACAAATAAAAGGAGCAGGCTAAAATGACCCGGGTAGTAATGGATTAAATTCAGAGACATGAGCAAGAACTCAGGTTTAGCTTAATACAGATAGAAATGGTTGCCTATAGAAATGCTTATAAATGTATGTAGACTGACATTGTCAGCTTGCTCTGTAAGCTAGGAGGACCCAAGAAAAATGACACCCCAGTACCATGGCATCCAGGCTCCGGTTTCTAACCGCTTTCTCTAGCAAAAGGAACCCAACATCTTTGGAGAAACAGCTGGTTCTAGGACTATGGCAGAAATGTACAAGATGAGCCTGGAGCAGCTTGTGGTGTCAGGAATCAAAGAAGTGCAAAAAAGCAGAACAAGGCAAACCCATGTTGGCAGATGTCAAAGGGGCAAAGCGAGAGAGGCCCCTGTGGCACAGTTGGAAGAATTTGAGTGACCAAAATAATGTAGTATTGGAATATAATCCACAGTATCAATACACATCCATAAATTCATGCAGATATAAATAAATTATCAAAAAAGAGAAGAGAGATGTAACAGTTTATTCACAATGTATGCAAATATGCTGCCCAAGGGAGCATAAGCTTTAGTTCTCACTCCTAAGGTACGGATTGGGCATGGTGACTTCCTTCCAAAGAGTACACTATGGAAAGGCCCAGTGGGGGAACAACTTGACAGTGGAGAAACCTGACAAACACCACCTCTGCTAGGTGATCAAGGTCAACCACAGTGAGGAATTGTGTTGGTTGCCCGTGCCCTTGGCCTAATGTAATGAAAATAGTGCTTTACTCCTGTGGTCTTCTCCCCCAAAGCCACAATCCCAGGCCAATCAGGAGAAAAACATCAGAACATTTCACTAGAGAGACATCCTGCAGTCCACCTGACCAGTATTCCTCAAAGTTGTCTGGGTCATACAAAAAAACCAGGAAAGCTGGAAAAACTGCCACGGGACAGAGAACCCCAAGGAGGGGATGTGAAGGCCAGATGTTATGTGGAATCCTGGAAGGGCTCCTGGACAGAAAAAGGACATTGGATAAAAACCAAGGAAATCTGAAACAACTGAATCACAATTCATAATAATGTATCAGTCCTAACATTAATCATATACCAAATATCGTACTAATGTAAGATGTTGATAATATGGGAAACCACGCAAGGACAGAACTCTGTTTTGCTCTTTTGTTTTTCCCAAAAACCTTTTATTTAAGGAATACAAACTTCATACATTTCATAATTACAACTTTTGGAACATGATGATTTTTCCCACTGTACTCACCCTCCTGCCCACTCTCCCACCCCTCTTCCTCCTCCCTCTCCTATTCCCATTCTTATTTTTTACTAAGATCTATTTTCAATTAACTTTATACGCATATGATTAACTCTATGTTAAGTAAATAGTTCAACAAATAGTATAGAAAAAAGAAACTGTTCCTCAACAGTCAAGACAAGGGCTGTTCATAGTCATTGCTTCTCAAAGTATCCATTTCACTTCTACAGATTAACTTTTAGGTGCTCATTAGTTATCACAGGTCAGAGAGGACATATGGAATTTGTCCTTTTGGGATGGGCTTATTTCATTAAGTATGAGGTTTTCCAGTTTCATCCATTTTGTTGCAAACGACTGGATTTCATTTTTTTTTAACCATTGTGTAGTATTCCATGGTGTACATATCCCATTTCTTTATCCAGTCTTAACTTGATAGGCACTTGAGTTGATTCCATATCTTAGCTATTGTGAATTGAGTGGCAATAAACATGGGGGTACGGATAATTTTCATATGCTAATTTCATTTCTTTTGGGTAAATTCCCAGGAGTGAGATGGC